TGAAATCCTCATCAAATTCATCAAGGACGAAACAGCAAGCAACAATATCCTATACGCCTTATCGCGAATATGTGAAATTGACATCAATTTGATTCTGATGCATCTTGAACAAATCACAATTGAATGTGGACAGCTGATCAACAGTCCAACAGATCAGTCTATCAATGCAATTTGGTTCTACTACAACACATTTGTGGCAGTCAGAAAGCTCCCTGTTTCTGTTGAGTATCAAGATCGGCTATCACAAATTCATTCATTGATGAGCAACTACGTCCACCACATCATTTGTGCCCTGATCACCAAATTGGATCAAACACCCTTGGATGATTCCATCACAAGAAATGCACTTGCATCTGCGCTATACGAAGCAATACAATTCCCAATGGATCAATCTTTATTGATCAATCTCACAGAGCACATTCAGAATGAATTGAACAAATCAATATTGGAAATGAATAAGACAAACTTCATTCTTCTGGAGGATAAAGTGTGTACAATGCTGATGCTACTAACTGTATCAATGTGCAATTTGAATACAATCAATGACACTGATGGATATTTCATCACAATTGGAAAACTAATCAAAATGCCAGAGTCCCTGATTCAGGGTGAAGTATTCATGTCATTGAGCAAAATGGTCACCACAAATAGAATCGACATCAACAATGATCAAATACATCAGAATTACATTATACCTCTGGTTGATACAGCATTGGTCACAATGAACACCAACAAGGAGCCATTTTCAGCAAATGCATCCTGTTGCTTTGTTTCTGATTACATTACGCAGATCAGTAATCAGAATGAATTGATTCGGATTCTACCCAAGATCATTGATCAGTTGCTTGGGGTGATAAAAAGGCAAGATAGTCGATTTATAGAAGCAAAGATGATTGTGATAGCGATGTTGGGTGATTTGGCACTGATCACTGGAGTGGCATTCTCTGAATACGTGAGATCAGTGGCACAGATGTATCAATTTGTGAATAACGCATTGGCTGAGTTTGAAATTGGGGAAAATGCGGAAATGTGCAGGTTGTTGAAAAGTGTGTTACAGACCGTAGATTGTGTTGTAGTGGGACTGGGTGGCAGTTCCGAATTGAAACAGAACATTTCTCAGATTGTGGGATGCATGCATTCTACGACAAAAATAGCAATGAGACACAGGTTGGATTTATTTGATAAGCCACTGCTTAATTTAATCAAAGACATTTACAAGAGATACAGGGTAAAGGACTTGAAGTCACAGTGGAGTTACGAATTTCTGAGATTCGTGTTGTTGAAGAATGAAGACAACAGTGAATGTGCCAGTACAATAATCAACATGCTAACACAGGAATAAATAGTGTTTAATCATTTTGCTTTAATACAGTGATGAAATCATCCAATACACCGAATAAATCAGACAATTCTGTGAGATTGTTCTCACCAAAATATCTCTTGAATTTGATACTGTTTTCAGTCGTGTTCTTATACAATTCAACAGTTTTATGAAGCTGCACTTGGGTGTAGTTAAAGAATGATTGGTATTTGATCTTGGTTTCATCAGGTAGCTGGTTGAATGCTTTCTTATTCTCTTTGTACATCACGATCTTCTCATTTACTGCTGTTTTGATGCCACACAAATCTACATTCTTGTATTTGGTTATATCAATATTGATCTTATCAATAGATATGTCATTCTCATCTATTATTTCCCGAATGAATCTGATTAATGTGTTGTTGTTGATTCTGTATTGACTGAATATACTGATCGATGACAGCCTAAATCCAATAACGTGTTTCTTTTGTGTAGAATATTCATAATTGATTGTATTGCATATTTCCAATAGTATTCCAAACACTGATCGTATTGAAGCATTTCCCATTATTTCCATAAGTGTGTTGTTTAGTCCATTTAAGTGTCTTTTAATGCTCTCACTTTCTTCTATGAACAATCTTTGAAACAGCAGAATGTCTAGCTCTATTTTCAGCTGCTTATTGCTTCCTAATTTGTGCATGATGGTTTCTATTGGATTCAGGTTGTTTAGGTTGCGTATCAACAGTTCCATTTCTGATTGAATTGGGAATATTCTGCAGATGTTATGGATGTTTTCTACAGTTAAATGGTTTCCAGAGGTGTTAACTGCTTCCTTGATGCCAGTGAGGGTAGTTGCTATTTTACTGTTCTCAAGATGTTTCAACGCCAATGATATAAAGAACAGTCTCCTAGAATCCACAATTGTCTCATTCTGTTTGACAGTATTACTCTTAGAAATTCTATCGTATTTTGACTCACAGAATTGATCTTCAAACCTATAGAAATCAATAATGATCTCTTTGTGTTTTAGATCAAATACGGTTCCATTAACTTGTTTGATTGGATTGATTCGAAGTGGTTTCTTGGCTATGAATTCACCCGTGTGTTCTATGGCTTTCTCATTCTTAATAAATTTCAATTTTTTTGGCTTTACAGGTAGGGGTTGTTCTCTTTCCTTTATTACCTCGACTTCTTTTATGTCCTGATCATCCACTACTCTGTATTTATTGCTTATTTCAACCAAAACATCCTTAAAATCTCGTTCTACATCTTCCTGATCTATATTTGTACTGCTTATATTATCTTTTGTAGATGTTTTTACATTTTTATATCCTTTTAGCTTTAGTTTTTTGCTGATTTCACACATTTCTTCTGTTTTATATTCCATTATTGAACCAATCTTAGCAATATGCTCATTATATCCCATATTAATATACTTTTCATAAATTGCTTGTGTCTTTTTGGTACTGATTCCATTACAAAATAACCTGATATTCTCCACAGCTACCAAATTCATGTTAAGCAATGATTCTACAATCGTGTTATTCTCTATAATTACAACATCAAAGTAGAAATCACTTGGAATAGTGATATGTGATTGCTCAACCTCAATGTCCTCGCACGTGAAACGTACCAGTCCCTGACAGTAGAAATGGGCATCAATATCCAGTTTGAATAAGACTGTCTTCTTGTTGTTTTTAGTGTAGAACACCCTGAATCGAGTTTCTCCTCTTATGATCTTATTTACATTTGCAAATACAATTGATTCAGATCCAATTTCATAGTTCATATCGGTGAACACTTCAATTTTACCGTTGGATTCAACTTGAAGATGTGGCACAAATGGCTCATTGAATTCTGTAGGCATTGATGTGAGAATGATCTGAGACATTATCAACTGATTGGATTGTTCCAAATTACCAACCTGATCAAAATAGTTGCAATACCTGATCAGTTTGGGCGATGCTTCAAGTTGCATATCTGGTATTTGATTTAAATCAGTGAATGCACTGATGGCATTATCCGAATATTTCATAGTTGAAATCAGGCAACTCAAATAGTAAATAATGATTTCCCTGTGTCTGTAACTATATTCCATGATAATTCTATTTCCATGATCAATATTGAACCAACTTGTGATTCCTTTGACAAATTCAACTGCATTTGAAAGAGACAGCTCTTTCTTTATCTTTTTATACCTGAATATTTCGTGAAGAATGGGCTGTTCTTTGAAACTGCAAACCACTGTCTGTTTCCTCTTGAAAAGATTGGCCAGTTTTTGTCTGGTTTCTAATTCAGACCCAAAAACAACGTAAATTCTATCATTGAGTCTAAGAATGTCAGCAGTGCAGTACTCTATCTGTCTAGTGCCTATCTTGAATTGCAGAAATGTTCTTTCAGCTATTCTCTTCAGCTTCGTCATAAATCCAATAGATTCTTCGCAATTTGGCATCTGATTCATTCAGAGTCATCAAGTTCTATATAGACGTGTTACAGAATTAGCCAATGATTTATTGATTAAAATATTGAGGTGATAGCACCTGCTGTATGATATTGCCTTGAACATCCACTCATAAGAAGGATGTCTTCGAAGCAATGGGGCAAAATTTTATAATTTCATAAAAACAGCCTGATGTAGAACATCAAACATAGCACTGCCGCCACATGCTCTATTTTGGTTCCCAAACGCAACTCCAGAACCATATGCCTTTTTTGATCGTATGAATTCGTACGTTTCAGCATTTCAATAAATTCCGCCTTGCTTTTGAATTCTCCTGTTTTCTTCATCTCTTTCAGTACCACATCCTTCTTCTTAAATGATTTCTCATAATACTCGTGGTCTTCAGCCTTATCTGATTCATCATTCAATATAAAGTTGATCGATAGTCTATCAGACCAATACATCATGTAATCGAACTTGACTTTCATAGGACTGATGTCAATGGCCCATGGATTAAAGAACAGCGTTGAATCAACAAATGTGATGTGTTGTTCCGCTGCATATTTCTGTATCACGGATGGGCCACCCTTTTTTGGAATCAGGCACCAGGTGTTTGGTTTGAGTCCTTTTTCCTTAGCAAATTCACAATTTCTTTTGTAAATTGGCGTAGTCCAAATGGTTCCTTCTGGAAAGATGATCACTACGAACTTATCCCAGTTTTTGATGCGTCTGATGTCATTCTCAAATACAGTTAGTGCATTTGGATCATTCCTATCCACTCCTATAAAACCACAGATTTTGCACATGTCTCCGAATATCGGAATGCTGAATAATTCCTTCTTCAACACGAACATAATGTTTTTGGTTGAATTAGTTTCATACAGAATCCTGATCATGAAAATGAAATCAAATTCAGAGAGGTGATTTGAGGTGAGGAACATCCGATTGTTCTTATCTATATTTCTATCAACACAGGCGTAGAATGGTCTCCTGTTTAGAATATAGAATGTTTCGGTAACAATTGATAGAAATATATCACGTATAGTGTTATAGCACCACCTCTGTACGTATCTTGGAGTAAATGCCTCATTCATCAGAAGCATCAGGTACACAACGGGCAGACACGTCAGGAAGTAAATTGCAGCTACTGCAAATTTTACTACGTTCATTGCTTCCTTGACATTTATCATGGGCGACTAAATTGTTGATTTGGTCAAAGACACCGAATAACTGAAATTCTGATTGTGATTGGTGCACTATTTACTTCTGTGTTTCAAACAGTTTGCGGAGGATCCTTGCGAGACAAGAAGTTGCCTTATAAGCACCACATCCAACAGACAGATACATTATTGCCGTGAACAGGAATATTACGTGCCTGTATTTTGATTTGACCCAAAGCTGCTTGATATCCAATCGATCATCTTCCAGAACATCAGACATGATTGCCTTAGTCTCCTCATACGTTAGTAGAGTATTGGGACACCTAGTAACCATCTCTTTGTATCTCTCAATCATCTTTTCCTTGGTGTAGAATGACTTATAGACGAAATCATCCGCCAGATCCTCATTTCTAACCTCTTGGATCAGAATAATCGGTGATATCGGCAGCCTCTCTTTAAAGAAATACTGTACGTGTGTTTGTTCGTTATCTGGCATGAAATAGTATGGATTGTTGAATATGGTACCGTCTATGATGTATTTGACTTCTAAGTTTGTTTTAATTGTGTTGAATCCACCAACTTTTGGAACCAGAACATTCTTAGGAAGAAATGGTTCATTGTTAACTGATAGCTCCGACTTCTTTGCGAACTCTTGTCCATTTCGACATGACTCTGTGGTTGGAATCGTGCCCTCTGGGAATATGAACATGGTGTATTCCTTATGTTTCTTGATACCGTCAATATCCCTTTTGATCTTTTCTTTATCGCCCGAATTCTTTTCTCTGTTTACGAAGAGATGATTGTGTTGTAAGATGATGTATCCTAGCACCGGAATCTTCTTTAGTTCCATCTTCATCAATATAAATAACTTTTCATACATCTCCAATTGATAATATATCATCAAAATATAAATCCAGTCATATTCAGAACAGTGGTTGAATATTGCGATATTCTTCTCATTCTTAACGTGTCTGGTTCTATTTATGAAGTAGAACGGCCTGGTGAATAGCAATCCCATGAATGCGATGATGACGTGATAGCACCAGAATTTCAGAAACTTCTCCAAAATCCCTCTTTTTAGTCTGGTCACTTTGAGCAGTTTATAAATCAAATTAAACAGCAGAATGTTCATTGCTGTCCCCATAATCAGACAGATGAAACAGATGAATCTCGTAATATAGCTCATCTTCATTAAGGGGGTTAATAATTTTCTTTATTATTATTTGTTGTGATAGCACATTGAACGATCATGTTTGGTGTCATTTTATTCAATTGAATAACAATGCCTTTTGTAAGGGGGAACAACTCATATCCTTTACTCAAGATCTCTGAAGCTTTCTTGTAGCCTTTCATATACCACGAGGGGTGAAAACACTTAGTAAACGCTTAAAAAGTCAGTTGTAGTTTTACTACAGACTACACCTTATGTTGTTCTCTGACCACTCGGTATAATCTAATGGTTTAACAGTCTCTTTTGTTAACATTTTTACTGTTTCTCCTTGTTTATTGTTCTCTAGGTGTAAGACAAACAGTAAGCGTCATACCTTACTCTTAATACCATAGTGTTGGTAGATCTACTACGACTATACGACGTATAAAGGAGAAATTAATTGAAGAGGTCAAATAAGAATAAAGTGCTATTCAATTTGATGCAGATGCAAAATGATACCTGTTTATCATCTGATGAAATGTCAGAACAGAAATTTAAGAAATATCATCAGAAGCACCACAAATCCTAGCAACCCATAGAATAGTGTCTTGTCTCCCAGTGTTCTTGCTTCAATGTTCTTCAACATCTCCTCACTCAATCCCAACCTGATGAATGTTGATTTTATTTTTCCATTGATTGAATCAAGCAAATCATCCTGTCTTTTCAAACTTGCGAGGGAATCAAGTCCTCGATTCAGCACCGTAGTCAATTTGTTGTTCTGTTGTCCATAGAATTCATCATCGTTCATAGAATGTTGCGTCTGTGTCAGTTCATCAATTCGTTGTATTGTTAGATTTGATTCAGTCATTTCTCGCTGTAACTTTGCTCTTTGCTTTGCCCTGTTACTCGTAATTTGTTTGTATGCGTTCTTTATGCGATTTAACTCAGAATTGTAGAATGTTTGCTCTTCTGGTGTTAGGTTTGTGCTATCCAACAAGCTTTGAAATGATTTGATTCGGATATTCAGCGCACCAATTATATTTGGATTCGTCTTACACTGTTCCAAATCCGCCTTAATTTTGTCCAGTATTTTATTGAACTCAGAGTTTCCTTTCATGGGGTAAAAACAATCATTCTTTATGCTCAAAATAGCACTTTCTGAGATTGGGTCGCAATTCCAACACTTTTTTGTCCACGTTCATCCCCTTTATTCTTTCAATAAACTCGAAATAATCACTTAATTCATACAGGTCGTTCACTCCATCTCTTAATTCTGGATATTCATCTAGAAGAGGCTTTAGCATTTTGAATGTATGCGACCTGATATTTTTGTTATCAGCTGATCCTTTTTTCTTATCAATGATTGTGATGTATTCTTCAAATATCTCCAAATTCGTTTTGTGAACATCAGTGAATATCGTAGGAATGAACAGAATTGGCTCTGCAATCATCACACCATCACATCCTGTCTCTTTAATCGCAATTGGAATATCATCATTGGTCAATACTCCACCATTTGATATGACTGGAATTGTCAGCGCATCTTTGACTGCTTTAATGTGTTTATAGGAAACATATCCCGCATTTGCACCTCTTTGTTCTCTTTTTCTGCCATGTACAGCAAGCAATGCACATCCATTTCTTTCAAATATTTTGGCGTATTCCACCGTCTTATCAATTGATTCAAACACGCGTATCTTGCAAAATAGCGGCACATTAATATTTGATGAGAGTGTACGGACAATATTCGTGATCAATTCCCAGTCTTCCATCAGAAATGAGCCATATTTCCCCTTTCTTGCTATTTCTTGTGGACATCCGAAATTTATATCAATTGCATCACAGTGATCTTGTATTTTTAAGGCTGTTTTCAGCATTTCTTCGGGATCATTTCCACAAATTTGTATAACAAGTGGTCTATCTTTTGCTGATGTTGTATACCAGTAATTTGATTCTGGTTTTGCTCTAGACTGGTTGAAAATCCTACTATGTACCATTTCAGTGTAGCACAAATCTGCTCCGTATCTTCTAACAAGTGTTCTGAATGCTTCTTCTGAATTTGTTACCATAGGAGCCAGTATCATCCACGGTCTCTTGATATTCTGTAGGAATTTTGGTATTTTCTGATTTTCCATTTTTGGGTTATTTTCTGGTCAATTTATTCAAGGCTTCTCAGTGTCTTACGCTCATTAATGTTTCTTGTGTAGATTATTTTGGCAATTGTCGCAAGTGTAAAGAATATTCCAAAGCAGAGTACGCCCTTTCCAACATGATTGTGGTGTTTTGTATGCGATGTATGCAAGTTGTTGAGTTCCATACGCATGTTTTTGATTACTCTGTATATTTCGTGCATATCGTCTTCGATTTTGTTCAGTTTCTCGTCAGTTTCGTCATCGGAATCCTCGTTTGATGTTTTTGATGCATCTTCAATTACGTTATCCGCCTTGTTCGATAGCTCCTTTAGGTCATCTTTAAATGAAATGACCATTTTTTGCAACGTGGAATGACCCAATCCACCTAATGCCACTGTCAGGTAGTTCAGGAAATGTGCTACGTTTGCCGTTGCCTCTACCACGGTGTGTTGACTCTCTGTCCTTTTGTGCGTGTTATGGATGGTATGCATGTCCATATTATTGTATTCTTCTCCTTCATTTCTCTCAAATACTTCAATTCCTTTTAGTTCAAGAAGTATTTCTGACTTTGCATCCTCGTAGTAAGATGTCATTCCCAGGTTGTATTCACTTGCGTCCATTTTGACTAATTCGGGATCATTGATCTTGAATGTGTCCGTAAGAAGCCTCTCACCATCATACAATTCAAATTTGATGTTGCTTTCTGTATGAATCAGTTTGAGTGTTAATACAGGCACAGCCTCTAATTTAGATGCGTCAATCTTGTCATAGAGTATCGTGTAATGTTGTGTATCCTTATAGTCTTCTCCATGATTGTATGAGAACACAAATCTCGCCTTGTAGTGACTGAATTCTATTCCACCCATAAATCCCTTGAAAACAGATGGTCCATTTTTTATAGTGCCTGCTTTCAATTTGTCTTCTGTGAACCAGACATAAACGCCTGATACTTCTGAATCTTTGAGCACCATGTGATCTAACTTGAGTTTGATTGAGAAATTGTGCGTCTTGAGCTTATTGTTAAAATTGATCAGGCTGCCCTTGTTGTGCTTCGTGTTTGCTAGAACAATGTCTCCATCTTCCTCAGTCACATTCTCAAAGGTGGCATGCTTCTTGAATTCTTTTACACTGTTGATTGATGTGAGAAGGGTTTCGGTGACATGCTGATCATGTTTTGGTTGATCACCAATAAAAGCATGTCCAAAGAGCATATGGACTATCAATTGCATATTTATGTATTGTGTTTCCGTTTAAATAGCATTGTTTCACATTGTTTATTGTTTATTAACAGAAGAGGAATATTTTTAGTCTAATCAGTAACTGATGTTACTCTATAATACTGCTGTTATTATTAAGAAGGGCATTCTGCTATTACTGAATGTTTATTATGATAAACAACCAACAATGTATTATTTACAAACAGTAACCCATTCATGCACCTGATCATATTGATATCATTTATTACTGCTGCATTGAGAAAGAGTAGTAGAATTAAAAATAAGAAAAGTGGGGTTAAAACAACTACAAGCAAAACTAATCCCGCTATCACACCCAATGATTCTAAAGAAACCAACAAAAAACCTGACGGTTCAAAAGATTTGATTCAAGCACAACTCAAAAAGGAAGAAGAAACAACTGTGTACGATAGCATTGAGTTTAAAGTCATTGCAGCAGTATTGTGCTTCATGGGAATGTTCCTGGTTGGCATTATCATTGGCGTATTCAATAAGTTCTCATTCTTGGAGATACTTGGTGCTGCCTTGGGAATGGGAATTATTGGTGTATTCATGGGAATCTTCATAGGTTCAGTTTTCTATGAGGTGTTTGCTCAAAACAATGATATGTAAATTCAATCAATTCATCAGTGTTTGTTCAAAGAGACCCCAATATGAAAAATTTACAGCTTTCACAGGTCAAAGGAGACACATTCAACTTAGTATCGATCGTGGAAGACTGCATTGAAATAAATCCATCAGATTGCAAGGATGTTGGAGAGAAATTACAAAATCTGCTTGTTGAATTGGAAGGATTGAATGAGGCACTCTTTTTCAAGAAGGAAAAACTGGGCTACCAAAATGCCACAGAAGATGAACAGAAACAGGCTGATCTTGTCAACGACATCCAGAATAAGCTGAGAAGAATCAAACTAGAACCACTCGGCGACTCAAAGAGCATTTTAGAGAAAAACAAACAAATCCTGGAATTGAAGACAATGCAGAAGCTGCTTAGATACTCAATTGAAGTGGATGAGAATGCTGAGAAGGTGTTGAGCACCTTGTTACACAGTGATGTAGCCGAGGACTGGCAATTCCTATGTCTCCTACTCAATTACAGCCTGAAATACAACAAAACCACTAAACATGAGACACTACAAATTTATGCTAAGAAAACAGAAGAAAAACTCAAAGAAATCTTCAGAAACAACATGCAATCGAAGAATGCACCAATTTTGAAGGCGTGTTTTGAGGCATTGAAGCAAATGGAAAAACACACCTTGGTTTATGAAATATACGTCTACGGATTCAGCCTGATAAATGAGCCATTGAACGTCTATCCACCAAATCCACCGAAGATCAACATCACTGATTTTGTGCTAAGAGAAAACAAATTCAGTGACATTATGAATAGGATAATTGAAACATGCAATGAGACCAATGATTATGATTACAGCATATTTGGTAACACCTTGGAATACAACGAGTATCTGTATGACAGAATATACAGAGTACTGGTTTACAAGGCACTTGAATTCTTCCTAGGAATCAGAGACCCAGTGCTCTTTCTACTTTGCCTTGACTTGGCCTATGATGATGTCTGTAAGTTCAACAAAGTGATAAGGAGTTTCACAACCAGAATGAATGTAGAAACATACAAATCAGAGGCATTTGCACAATATTTGTATAAGGCAATTGAAACAGAAAAAGATGCATTTGATATGGTTTTTGGAATTCTGGTAAATGGAGACGTAGCAAACAAGAAATACATTCTCTGTGGATATGCAGTGGTGCAGCAGCAGAAAATGATCAAGGCATTTGAATTGCTGCTTGTTTTTGTTGATATGGTGGTAAAGAGAGCTGATAAAATGCATTCAGATGAGGAGAAGGACGAGTTATTGAGATACATGTTCAGAAGAATGAATATTCTGATTGATAAGTTGATTCTGGAGGCAGAAGATAAGACGAAGCTGATTGAAGGACTCAGTCGCATCTACGTCCTAGCAAAGAAGTATTTGGAGAACAAATTTGTAGTCGTAGAAGAATTTAGTAAGAAATTGAGTGAATCCATTCAGGATGCATTCGACTTCAAGATAAACTACATCAACCTGACAATCAAACGAAAGATAAATGCGCTATTCTTCGAGCACAAGAGCGACTACAAGCGACTCCTCACATTTATCAAAACTAGCATAAAAGAAGGTGAAGTATTGCAAGGAAGGAATTTCAACGTATACACCGATAGAATCTTGGCATATACGTTCAAGAGACTCCACAAACACATTCTGACGATTCTGTACACACAAGAGCAGACTAAGAATCTGCTTCATGCCATTGATGAAATTCAGGGATTTGTGCTGTTTATAAACAGAACAGCAATGGCACACCATTACAACTATCTTAGGAACATCTGCAAGCTCATTGCGGTATCAAAGGACTCATTTATTGAAGAATACAGCGACCTAGAGAACATTCTGACAGATAAGGATATAAAGGCCCTGATAAAATGCAGAGAGGACAAAGACGAGATTCAGACCATGATCTACAAGAAGGCTGATTGATCAGTGAACTGTACACCAAATCAATTTACTTGTAGTTGCATCCCTTTCGTTCCGTGAAGTCAGCCAAGTCCTTTATGTCTATCAAATAGTTCTTAAGACTGATCAAATGTGTGTCATTTTGTGCACCTGAATACGCCGGTATCAGCTCTCCGTTCTTTGAATGCATTGCAAATGAATGCTCCTTGTCGTCTACAATTATTGTTCTCTTTAGGTCTCTGCCTAGAATATCCATGTTCTTCACAAACAGATCTTTGCTATGTCCATTTCTAGTCAAAACTGAACAATATCTTCTACCCAAACAGTATTTGATACGATTGTTTGAATCTATCTTCCTCAACACTTTTAAGCCATATTGCATTATTCCAGCCGTATATAGCACCAATTCATAGTGTTTTGCCATCTCAATAAGGAAGTCATCCAGGTGTGGTCTCTTGATAAAATACATCATAAACTGCCTACCACCATAATCAATTGGAACTGAGAAATCGTGATTGGCTATGTATGTTGGTGATGGATAAACCAAGGTGTGATCAAGATCAAGCACAAGTGTTGGCTTATCATCCAGTTTCACAGGCAGTGCATTTTTGAGGACGAATTCCTCTGGAAACGTGTCCAGGTAGTTTTCATTCACGAAATCATTTGGGTTGGTGACTTTGACTTCATCCACCATTGGAAGCACATGAGTGTTCTTAGCCAGAAAATACGTCAGGCTGGCCAGCACAAATGGCCTCTTGTCTTCTACCAAAAGCAGTTGCTTCATCCTCGTCTTCTGATCATCCTCGTTGTTCAACAATTCGATCTTTACGTCAGTTCCACAGCAGAAAAGCTTTTTGAAAAACTCATGAACGATTGGCATGAATAAACACGGCAAATGAAATAAATATTTTCATAACAACCTGAAACAAAACAACTGATAATGATTCGTGATAATTATGATCTCATTGACTCATTCTCATTATGAATCAAATACTCTTCCTGATCTGGTGGTTGAGCCATTTCTCTATAGAATTCCCGGGCAGCCCTCATTGCCATGTCAATGCTCAAACCCGTGTTACCCTTTTCAACGTCTTGTTGAATCCATTTTGGTAGCAAATTCAAAATATCAAAAGTAGTGAATTTGGTGTCAGCCAACACCACCAGTCCGTAATCAAATGGTGAACGGATGATTTGTGATAGCGATTGGGCAGTTTGACGCATTGCATCAAATGTCAGAAATTCAGTCTCATTTATACCACGACTTTCTTCCAGGAATTTCAGTTTTTCATTCAATATGACACAATTGGTGGATAGAAATGGCACTCCAAAGACTACAGCGCATCTACCGTATCCTCCTGCAAACTCAATTCCATCCGAGGTTATTCCTCGTGCAACACAAAGCAGAATACCTCCTCTTCCTGAATCACAGGCTTCTTTGTATTTTCCAATTGCCATTGCTGTTTCCTGAATGTTTTGTGTTTCAGTAAAAATGGCCTTGTTGGCTGTGATTTCTTCTATTACGCCTGTGTTTGTCCAGGCTGATAGAATCTCATCCAAATAGCCTGAATTTGGGAAAAATACCAAAATGTTGTCTGGAACAGTCTTGGACAAATTGAGCAGCAAAATGCCATAGTTTCGCACTATTGCTGGATCAATATGTTTCTTTTTATCAGAAACCAACACATCATCCATCGCAAACCTGTTTGAATCAAATGGCTTGTTTTCAATTATCATCTGATCGTCTCCCTTTGTGATTATGAGTGGTGTTACCACATTTCTGTTATGAAATCGGCCTATTCTGATGGTATTGAGTTGTGTGAAATCAAGCAATTTTGAATACATTTCTGTTGAACAGAGAGCAGTGGATGTCAGCAGAACATTTCTGAATCTGCTGAAGATGTGTTTGGTACCAACTGATGGATCATTGCAACTTAACCTGAACGTGGGATTGAATGCGTGTGTTATTGCATCATATGGCTCAAAGATCACTGAAAACTCCTTTGAATGGAGACCAAGAAAAGTGGCTACTTTAGCAACCAGTTCCAATGAACTCATTTTGTCGTGATTGAAGTTGGCCTGGCTTTTTAGCACAGAAAGACGCTGTGAACAAAATCGTAGTTGCTTCCTTTCTATGCACACTACGTCTTCTATTTTATCAAGAAACGCATCTACGGTATCAATTGCAACGTGACTTGACTTCAACTTAGTCTTCAGGAACTCAATGAACCTTTTTATTGCACCTATCACATGCATTGGGCTTCTCATGTTTCCTGGTGTTGATTCATAGACTTCTTCATTTTTCATCTTATTGAAATAGTATGGAATACACTCATCAACAACTCTCTCCATTCTTTCTGATCTGTACAAGTTGGATTTGTCTTTAATTCGATCTTCAAATATTTTCAAGGCACTTCTTGCTTCTTCCAATACTCTACGTGTGATTTGTATGCTCATTGACTCCACACACTTGTTATCTATGTTTTGTGCCTGATCAAATATTACTATGCTATCTTCTTGTAATTTGCATGATATTAGTGAATATATTCCTATATCAATCAAACAATCGGATGTGAATATAATACAATCACACACTTCTAGAACACTTTGCATCATTGTTGAATTGATTTGTTCATTTTTGTGTTTGTTATTTTTCAGGTCACAGAAATTGTAGATCCCGTGTGATATTTCCTGATTGCTCTCTGTCTCATTGTGCTTGTATTTCCTCATTGCATCTCCATCAGCACACATTCCCGTGAAGTTTGTTTCTATAAATTGATCCATATACTCAATTTGCCTTTTTATCGACTTATAAACATCATCCAATTCCACCTTGGAATTCAAACAGTAAATGATTTTACGATTCTTATTCTGCTTTTTCTGCCAAATTGCATATGAAACTGTACAGGCAATTAATGCATCTGTCTTACCAGTACTTGGTGGTATTTCAATAAGCGTGTGTCCTGGATTTTCTATTGAATTGAGTATTCCTTCCATGTATTGCCTCTGTTCTGGTTGTATTTTATCAAATGGGAAATAGATCGGGGTGTTTTTGATTTCACAAATCATTGGGGCCAAATGGACGATAAAAAATTCAACGATGAGAACACGTTTGAGAGAGTTGAACTGAATGGGACAATCTTCAGGTACAACGATTCTGGAAACATTGCATACAGGAATAACGTTGATTCACGCAAGTGTGTGATATTCTACGGTGGTCTTGATGGAAATATCTGTGGTCCTGGTTACATCAAAGACCTTGAAGCATTTTGTACTGAAAACAACCTGTGTTTAACCATTCCACAGTTCACAACACATCCTCACTTCACTCTGTTTCCAATCAGCAAAGACATTGAAGACCTAAAGAGACTGCTTGATGAAATAGAAGAAAAGTACGACGAATTTATTCTAATTGGACACTCTACTGGATGCCAGGACACACTACTGTTTCTGAAAGAGCACTATTGTAGCAAAATCAAGGGAGCTGTTTTACAGGCGCCTGTTAGTGATGTAGAAGGACAAGAACATTTTGTACCTGATTTGCATAAATACATTGAAGAGGCCAGAACAAACAAATTCATCGAATTTGATGGCATTGTTTATGCATCTGAAAGATTTCTAAGTTTGTATACGAGACACGACACAGAAGATCTGTTTAGTAGCTGGATTGAGGATGCCAAGTACAAAGAGTTCTCCAAATACTGTCCAATTGTCAGTTTCATCTCTGGTGCAGATAAATACTGCTTTGTATCAGTGCAGGACAAACTAAAGCTATTTGGTGACGTCATAGTAATTGATGAAGCAGGTCATTCCATCAAGGAGTCAGAACACCGTACCATATTCATCAATGAGCTTGGAAAATGGATGCGTAAAATTGGCTTTCTTTAGCCTGAGAACTCCCAATGAGTTTTCTAAAATTTTACCCCAATGGTGAATGTTCCTAAGGAAAAGAAACACTACTGCAGAACGTGCAATACACACACAAGCAACAAGATCTCACTCTACAAGAAAAGCAGGGACAATCCACAGAGAGAAGGAAACAGAAGATACCGCCTCAAGCAGAAGGGATTTGGTGGACAAACGAAGCCAATTCTGAGACGAAAGGCCAAGAACACCAAGAAACCCGTTTTGAAGCTGAAATGCACAAAATGCCAGCACGTTCAAATGAAGCCACTGCACAGAGCAAAGCAGACGATCATCTCAAACGAGAAGAAGGTCAAAGGAGCAGCACTGACATTCTAATGCATTTATTACAAGCAATTTTCTATTATTTCGTGCAAATTGGTGTTCTCAAATGCAGCATGGACTCGCTCCTCGTCATTGAGCTGTTTGTTGTAGATTTCTTCCTGTGAATGCGAGTTCTCTGTGATTTTCAGTCGTATCATAAATCCATCTACGTGTTTGTACAGTTTGTAGGCCAAAGTCAGCCCTATGATTCCCACCAGACTGCAGTGTGGGACTGTTGGAGTGAATTCAACCTCAATGCATCGTGTAATCCCAATATCATTGATCAACACCTCTCTTTCTTCATTTAGATCCACTATTCTCACTTTCTCCAAATCAACTACGTTCAACTGCTCAAGCGTGTAGGGGTGTTCTGGGTCCTTGATGTCTCTAATCAACTCAAAAATGCTCTCTTCTGTCACCTCTACCATTTTACCGTCTTTCATCCTCATTTCCACTCTCCTACTTCTCCCATCGCGAACTGTTGGATTTAAGTTGTCCATTTGGGGTGATTCCACTTGATTTCTGCAACTTAGTCAAGTCACTTCTCAACATTTTGGCACTATCCAAATTTGGTGATACGTCCATCGTGCTATTCAAGTAGCTCTTTACGTCTTCAACCAGCCTGTTACTCTCCATTATTGATTTGCGGTTTTTTCTTCCTGATGCCTTACAAAAAATCAATCCCAAAACAAGCATACGTGTCCCATTCTCCTCTTTTTGTCCATTAGTGAAACAGCAACAAACAAACTAGCCTGATAACATCCTAAACAGTGACACAGCTTTCAGATTTGTTTGCTAATGAAACAAATCAATTCGTACCCCAATGAAATGCATAGAGAACAAAGAGAAGCTCTGTAGGCTGATTGCGTATGGAGCACTTCTCTTCATTGGAGCAATTCCATCACTCGTCTACATCAGAAAAGAGAGTGGATTCGTCTCAGAAGCAACGATGGTTGGACTGTCCATCGTGGCAGCATTTGGTGCATTCTACGCAACAATCTGCATATTCACTGATGGATTCGTAGACAGAAAAGTTCATTTCACCATTCCAAGGGAAATGGAACGAAAATGCACCATTTGCGATATCGTGAAACCAGAGAGGTCGCACCACTGCAAGATCTGTAAAAAATGTGTAGTGAAAATGGATCACCACTGCAACATTCTGAGCGTATGCATCGGCCACAGCAACCACGGCCATTTCGTTCGCTACCTCTTCTTCACGTGGCTTGGTGCCCTATGGCTCTTTCTGTACAACGCATTTCTGATATTCAACAAGATATTTATTGCGACTGATTCAGTCACATATCCAATCAGCACATTCATCCTGTTTTCAACATTGGTTTCAATTTGCATCATTTTCATAACAACAATGCACTTGCATTGGCAGACACAGAACATGAGGAGGAACATCACGAACATCGAACTGGTTCAGGAGCACAATGCGAAGTATCGAGACATCAAATGCGGGCCATCACCGTACAATCAGGGATTCTACAGCAATTTCAGGGACATAATGGGATCAATCAGGTATCTGCATCTGGGGCCACCTGTTCTAGACGGCTACAACTGGCCTAAGACATTCAAAACGTACTATTGGCCACTGATCGATGTAAATGCGATACGATCAGAATGCGACGAGAATATCTAAATGCCATACAGTATAAATGGGTGTGTTCCATACATTTCGGATCGTTAGCTCAATGGTAGAGCGTTCGGCTGCAAACCGATGTGTGCGCGTTCAATTCTCGCACGATCCTCTTTTTCTCTTTTTTAGCTGGCTCAAAATTTCAAGAAGCTCGTCACGGGCAGCCTCCCGCGTCTGATCAGTGCTGATCACATGGTCGAATTCGAATTTATCTGCAAATGCCAGTTGCTCGCCCACTGTTTCAAGTCGTCTCTTTAGCTCTGCTTCCGGTGTCCCTCTCTCCATCAGTCGGCTACGTATCGTCTCTTTCTTCGCTGTAACCTGCACAAATGTCGCATTGGGTAACATCCCATCTTTATGCAATTTAGAGAAGAATTCAATTCCAATTGTTTCCAGGTCAAAGAGAACCACTCTGTCTCCTTTGGATTCCAGAATGTCACTATGGTTTCCTTCTTGTATCTTTGCTGTTCCATAGTAGTTTCCTTTGAATTCAACGTATTCCAGGAAGAAATCTTCTTTTATTTTTTGCTGAAAATCATTTCTACTGATAAAATGATAGTTGTGACCATCTCTCTCGTTTGGTCGTGGCATCCTGCTCGTATACGATATGTTGAGATGGACATCTGTTAGATCACAGCAAACGCTATTGATTATGGTGGATTTCCCACAACAAGATGCGCCAGTGATGAAGACATATTGCGTCATATGGGCATAAAATATCATAGACCATGAAATACGTTGATGAATTCATGAGCAAATTCAGAGTGGATGGAAGACTGGAATACGAGACCAGATTGATTGATGTACAGCTGTATAATGACACTGAGACTGGATATGCAGAAATAAGACAGGGAAGGACACATGTTCGTACTCAACTCGATTCAACCACAGAAAGAAGCAAATTCAAAATGAATTTAAAATATTTACAGGCTGATTCAGTTACAGAAAGACAGAAGTATCAAATAAAGAGCAAGATAGAGAAGATATTCAGTGACATAATGCGATCAAGTGGCACCAGTGTGACTGTGCTGGTTGTAGAAGACAATGGTGGCCTGATTGCTGCAATAATTAATTGCATAACTTTGTGTCTGACACACTGTAGCGTACCAATTGCAGACATGGCCATAGCTGTATCCTACAACACAGGCATTGATCTGTGCAAGAAAGAGGAGAATGGGCCATTTATTGCTCTACTGGTCTATTTGAGTAACACCAAAAAGGTGATATATTTTGATGCAGCTGGCTCATTTACCAGAACATCGTTCATCGAATGCACTGAAGCAGCAAAACTGGCGTGTCAGAACATTGCATCTCAGTTCAAGACGACTCTTCTGACTTCCAATGATTCACGATAGGTTGTTTTAGTGAATTATTTTGTTGAATTTTCCTAGGCCCATGGAAGTTAAAGAGAGCATTGTGTTCTTTAATGATTTATGTGACAACTACACGATAACAGAGGTGGAGACACTCAGATCAATCTGCTTGAAGCTAAAGATGAATCAGAATACGTTATCAAATGTCATATACGCATTTTATTACTGTAGAAACTTCCTCAGAATCGAGCCAGATGATGTCGTATTCTACACCAGCATAATTGATTTAAGTTACAAGATTTCAGAGACGAGCAAGTCACTTGAAGCAATTCTGAAGACGTGTTCGACGCATCTTCTCGTCGTTATTGATGAAAACACGCTCCTTAACCACCTCACTGTGGTAAATCAGACACAGCTTAGAATTCTTAGATCCAATTCATGTGACCTGAATGAATTGAATTTGTACGACAAAATGAATGAAATCTGCAAGAAACACGCCCTGGATGTTCCACTCGTTGACATGTGTTGGACACTAATCAATGACCTGGCTACATACTACCCAAGCACGCTATTCTTCACTGAGAACGAGGTCATCTACGCCGCATTCTACTTCCTGTGTCTCTATCACAATGAGAAAATATTCAAAAATGTGAGTGATAGATCATTCAGCAAATCACATGAGACTAATTTCATCAGGAAGTTTGATATTGAAGAGGACATAACAGCAATACGATTTCTGACTAATAACCTGGTCACACTCTATGAATCATGTAACAAACAGCATAGACAGTGATGAATAGTTGAGATTGATCAGAATCATATGAATAATTCATCCATGGAGGAAAAGAATGGAATTTTGGAAGAAGAAAGAATTCTTGAAGTAGGCAGAATTCTCGTAGTTGGATGCGGCGGTACTGGATCAGAGGTCATTAAAATGATTTGCAATGAATCAAAAGACGTCACTGTCGTTGACGATGACCGTGTGGCATTGACTGATTTATGTAGACAATTTTATTACAGAAATGAAGATATTGGAAAGTACAAGGCAGAAATCATAGGCAAATTACACGGTATAAAATATCACACAAAAAGAATACAGGAATTAGGTGAGTCATTTATTAATGAATATGACATCATATTCTGCTGTGTAGATAACATTGTGACAAGAATGGACATTAACTACCTGTTCAATATCTTAGGAAGCAGATCAAATAGTAGAATTATGATTGATTTGGGGGTAGATGGATTCCAGTGTCACGTAAAGAAGGTATCTGCCACTTCAACCTGCTTATACTGCATTAGGGAACTCTACAGAACAGAAACCATAGGAATATGCACGTTATCAGGAACTAGCGATGTCACTGATCAAAATAGAACACGAATCCTGAAATCACTGATTCACGAATATGAGAAGGAAACAAATCAGGAGATCAGCGATAGATTCAACAAAAAGTGCACCAGGGCTGATTTATACACCAATGAAGCAGAAATATCATTTCATAGATCCAATTCTGTCTCAAACACGGCCACAATCAACTCAATTTGTGCATCCATTGCAATTCAACTGATTTCTGATCCAAAACACGACTTCCTCTTCTACAACGGCAATAAACTGATCCATATCTCAAAACACGCAATAGAAAAAAGAGCAGATTGCTTAGCCTGTCGCAATCAGAAGACCAATCAGAGTTAAAATCATTTATTCGGTCGAATTAGTTGCTGTATCAATGCATTGATGTGTTTCTGAAGCTCATGAGGTGACTTCGTCAACAGAATCCAATCCAAATTTGTCATTGGATCTGCCATCAAATCTGCCCTGACATTTTCAATTGGATTTGGCCCATCTGCGTATTTCGCATACTTCCTAAGGATAGTTGCGTTATCCAAATAGGCCCTGTTCTTGCTGCTGACGCGCTTCTCGATCTCGTGTGGCTCCAAGTCCTCGATGATCTCCTTCATCTGCGCCACTGCACCCAGCCTCTCCTCTGTCCTTGATAGAAGCAGTAGAATCCTGTCGCAGTCTTCGAGTTCCTCAATTCGGTCAAAGAATACGTCGTAATAGCGTGCCACGTCATTCTTGTACGCCATTGCCTTACAAACCTTAAGCTTGTCTCTCCCATACGCTTCCAGCACAGCCAGAAATGTCTTATAGTCCTTCTTAGTCCAGTCAAATCCCTCTTTCAGTAGCCCCTCTTTTCGCTGCTGTAACTCAGCAGATAGCGGCATCCCCTTCCCGTGGAAATCGGCCTCTGCTTCCTGAATGCTAAAGAACTCCTTAGGGTAGAATTGGTAGGGTGGGAAGTTCATAGGGCGAAATGAGGTGTTTTTGAATACGCACATTCTCTTGGTCCCCGACTCAACCTGGGCCTCTGCCACAAATTGGTCGAGACGTCTCCTGCTCTGGTCTTCTCCGTCCCAGTTGAACATGTCAACTCGCTCGTTCTCCTCTGCCCCAATCCGAAACTCCTCAATCTGCTTCTCCATCAGCCGCGTCTTCTCAGCCCCCACTTTCAGAATCTCCTCAAATGAAAGTGGCTGATTCTCATTCCGCTCATTCTCAATCGCATCGAGCCCAGTCGCAAGAAGATGCATCATCTCCTTCTGCGACAGTGCCCCGCCGTGTCGTCTTCCGTCCTTCTTCAACAGCACCTCGTCCAACTTCAGCTTCTTCTGTGCCCGTAGAACAATGTTCTCTTCGATCGAATTTTCCACCACAAGTCGGAAGACCTGCACCTGCCTCGTCTGCCCAATGCGATGCGCCCTGTCCTGCGCCTGCAAATCCGCATACGGGTTCCAGTCCGAGTCGTACAGTATCACCGTGTCAGCGGTGTACAGGTTGATTCCTAGTCCTCCTGCCCTGGTGGTTAATATGAATATGAAATACTCGCTTTCTGGTGCGTTGTATTCCTCGATGTATTTGTTACGGAGAGACCCCTCCGTGTTTCCGTCTATTCGCCTGTATCGGTAGCCACGCATCACCAGGTAGTCTTCCAGGATGTCAAGGACGCGAGACATCTGCGAAAAGAGGAGCACCCTCGATCCGCTACTTCTCAGGTTCGCAAGCATCGTGTCGAGCACGCGCATCTTCCCAGACGCATCGACGAGGTCCTCTCCAGTGCACTCCGTGTCGGCCTCAGCCCCCTCAAAAAGGTACGGGTGGTTGCACACCTTTCGCAGCTGCATCAGAATGTTCAGCAGCCCCGTCTTGTTCGCCGATCTGCCGCGAATCAGCCCGCCCAGGTCGCGATTCAGCACCGCCCTGTACCAGTCGCGTTGCATCGCACTCATCGGGCAGTAGATGTTCGTGCTCTTCTTTGGAAGAAGGGCTGTCTCAACTTCATGCTTCTCTCTGCGCAGAAAGAAGCATGAGAGCACCTGACGCAGCTTCTCGATCTTCTCCACGCTCTCGCGCTGCCCAGCCTCCTTCACCAGCTCCTCGAACTTCTCGGAGTCAGCAAACAGCTCAGGGAGAATGAAGTTCAGCAGAGACCACAGCTCGTGGATGTTGTTTTGGAGAGGTGTCCCAGTCAGAAGCAGCCTGCGCCTGAAGTGGAAGCCCCTCAGCGTCTTCGCAAGCAGCGAGTTCTCGTTCTTCAGGCGATGGCCCTCGTCCACGATCAGGTACTCGAAGTGGACGCGACGAAGCCACTTTCTGGCATTCAGGCACATCTCGTACGTCGTGATGATCGCATCGTACTTCTTCAGGGCCACGTCCTTTGCTTCCACGGCCATCGAGTCACGCGAGCACCAGAACGTACGCGTTTTGAGCCCAGGGACAAACCGCCTGAACTCGTTGCTCCAGTTTTCAAGCACCGACTTCGGCACCACAATCAGCGACTTCCTGTTCTCGTTCTTCACAAACTTGATGTATCCAAGCAGGCAGATGCTCTGCACCGTCTTTCCTAGTCCCATTTCGTCAGCCAGAATCCCGTTTATTCCGCCTTCGTGCATCTTCACCAGCCAATTCAGCCCTTCCAACTGGTAGGGCCTCAACTCGCCAACCAGGTACTTTGGGCTTGTTGGGAAAATGTACGCCTCAACCGGCTCGCTGCTCTCGGATTCAGCTCCAGCACCGGGGATGAAGTTCCGTACGAATTCATCGTCCCCAATGAACTTGGCGTATTTCGAGTAGCTTCTCGGTGTCATAAGGCATAAAAATTTGTAATTTGATTTCAATGAAAACTGTCCAATTTAGACAGCAGACGCCTCCCGCTCTTTATTTAAAGGGGCGTCTGAAGATGTCGATGCACGCTGCTGCCTTGGCTGCGCCGAAGCCAGGCAGCGCAATGAGGTCGGACTGGTCCGCGTTAATGAATTCCCTAAGGGAACTGAATTCAGTTTGAACTGTTTTCTGGTTGCCTGAAGACAGAAATGGGAGATCAGCCAGAAATGAATTGGATTCCGTCTGGGTTCGTCTGGTTTCAATGGGTCTCTTGGCAGCCTGGTCGAGGCTTCTGACGTAGCTGGCGCACTCCTCGTTGTTTCTACCAAGCACAATTGTGGCTGAAACTGTTTTGTACAAATTGAGCAGCATTTCATTGAAATCAGGCACATTCACCAGAATGATAAGAATCACCAGTTTGTGATCTCTGACTTTTCTCATTCTGCTGAAGATGTAATCAGGTTTCTCAGAATGATATTTGAGACTCAGAAACAGCACAGCTGTGGTGCCATTTACCTCAAAATCACTTCTAATGTCGTTATCATAAATCCAGTTGGTTTGACCAAGATATTTCATGACAGCATTTTTGGCCTGTCTTCTGTGTATTTTTATCATAGGGCAAAATTAGCAAAATTCACCAAATATTGCACCAAAGTCAATGACTGGGACATTGCTTCCGCCAATGACCGTCTTGAGTTTCCTGAGCAGCTCATATTGCTCAGTTTCTATCCAAATCCACCCATTTGATCCAACAATTGCCCTGAATCCATTTCCTTCAAAAAATGACTTCTCTTTTCTCACTCGTGAAAGTGCCACCTTTAACAGCATCCCATTTTCCAGTTTGCCGTACTTAGATGATCGCGTATGAAGTGCAAATGTCCCATTTCTGTTAACTTTCTGTACCTCACAGGCTACCAAGTCGTCTATTTTGTAAATTGCCCTCATTTCCATCTCATCATCAGCTCCCTTTCTTCGCTGAACTACGCCAGGAAGAAGCACCGATCCCAGTGACAGCGTGCTCTTCATTCTTCCATTGCACGTGATTCCCCATTTCTTGTTGTAGACGTCTGCAACTCTTCCTATAACAACATCTCCAACCTCAGCCTCGTACTTAAACACGTTTATTGGTTCCACAACAACCACTCTGTTGAGCTTCTTTGCTACTCCCATTAATAATGAGCCTATTTCTCTACCACTTGAGCTAGTTCCCTTTCCATACGTGAATTCCTGTTTCTCATTTTTCTCTACTTCTTCGCCTGGGAAAACAGTCTCATTCACCATGGCATAAAATTGGTCATTTTTGTCCCATGCACATAATACCACTTGGAGCAGGCCAAGACGTTGGGAAATCGTGCATTTTGGTCTCAATTCAGGACAAAACGATCATGTTCGACTGTGGAATGCACATGGGATACCACGATAGACGCAAATTTCCTGATTTCAGCTACTTCGAGCAATTCAACAACTTCAATGCCGTTGTTGATGTCGTCATCATCTCCCATTTCCATATCGACCACTGTGGCGCACTTCCCTACTTCACAGAGGTTCTTGGCTTCGACGGGCCCATTTTCATGACGCATCCAACAAAGGCAGCACTTCCAATAATTCTGGAAGACTCAAGAAAGCTGCTTGAAATGAAGAATAGTGGTGACAAACTGCTCTTTACCACTGAACAAATCAACACGTGTCTCAAAAAGGTCATCACAGTCAACATGAATGAGACGTACGAAATAGAGGACAATTTCATTCTACGACCGTATTACGCTGGTCACGTCATTGGTGCAGCCATGTTCTACGTAGAATACAAGGGAGAAAGTGTCGTATACACAGGTGATTTCAGCACACTTGCAGACAGACACCTTAGATCAGCCACAATTGATCGACTCTCACCCGATTTATTGATCACCGAAAGCACGTATGGAGGAGTATTAAGGGAGTGTAAGAAGGCTAAGGAGAGAAGAATGCTGCAAATAATCCAGGATACGATTGACGAAGGTGGAAAAGTGCTGATTCCGATATTCGCCCTAGGAAGAGCCCAGGAAATCTGTCTTCTAATTGAAAATTATTGGGAGAGAATGGGTCTAAAGGTGCCAATCTACTTCTCAATGGGAATCACAAGCAAAGTCAACGACGTCTACTCGCGATATTCGAACTACACGAACCAGACGGTGCAAGAGAAGCTGGAAAAGAGAAACGTATTCGACTTCAACTTCATCAAACCATTTTACAGGGCTGTTCTTGAGTCAGACGAGCCAATGGTGATCTTTGCTACGCCAGCGATGCTCCATTCTGGTAGTTCTCTTGCCATTTTCAGGTCACTTTGTGGTGATAAAAGGAATTCAGTGATTTTGCCTGGTTTCTGTAGCAGGGGAACTGTGGGAGAGAAAATCATGAACGGTCTCAGGCGAATTGAAGTTGGTAGAAATGTCTTGGATGTGAATTTAAATGTCCATAACGTGGCATTCAGTGCACATGCTGACATGGCTGGCATTCTGAAGATCGTAGAGCAGTGTAGACCAAAGAATATTGTTCTAGTTCACGGTGACAAGAGCAGAATGCAATCATTGAAGAATAAGATCGACGAGGAGTTGGGAATACCCGTCTATCATCCTGCAAATGGAGTGATGATTGAGATACCAAGGCAGAGGAACGTGGCTGTGCGAGTGAAGAGGGAGCTGATTGAGAAACACGTCATTTTAGATCAAAATGAGCAAGAAATTGATCTATGTCTGGAAGTGGAAAAAGAGGGAGAGAAAGTTGTAGTGAAGAGCATTCAAAGTAACAGAATGTAGAATTAATGAGAATGAGACTTGTTGGAAGACAGCTGCCCCTTCTACTCATCAGAACCAGTGTACGTCTTTTCAATTGCCTCTTTCAGGTGATTCGTTTGGCCTTCGATGGTCTTCCGGACGATGAAGTTCTCAACAGTCGTCTTCAACGCGTCCTGAATTCTGCTTCTGTGCTTCTCAGGCAGCAGATACTTCGCATGTTGAGCCAGCTCCTTGGTCAGAAACCTGTTTAAGACAAGGCCCCTGTACGACTCGAGCTTGATCTTCCACAAACCAACAATCAGCTGCCTGTCTTTGCTGATCGACTTCTCAAGCGTCAGATTCTCAAACTTATCGACGTATCCCTCGAAACACGCCTTGTTATTGATCAGATAGACGTATTTGTCAAAATCACGAAGATGAGACGATAACTCAACCACCTTCCCAAGGCATTTGGTAGAAATGTTCGAATCAAACGACTCTGCCCCGTAGACGCCAAATGACGGCCCAAATGAGGAGACCCAGGCCTCCTTGAGATCAGGGCTCTCGTTGAATGCGTCCAGGGCAGCAGTCGTCGTCTTGCAGCCGTCTTCTGCCTGCAGATCCCCTCTTGGCTTCTCAAGCATCTCCAAATCAGCCGTAAGTTGGATCATGCAATTCAAAATCAACTTTTTGATCTGATCTTTGAAGACACCGAGTTCCTCGATTTCTTTGATGGCTGTTCCATCCCGATGCATCAGATTCGCATGCAATTTGATCAGAAGTGCGATGTCACCTGCATTTGACTCCTTGTCTGCCTTGATCAGTGTGTCTGCCATCACCTTCTTCAGACTGATCACAATCAGCTGGACCAATCCAACATTGATGTTGTAGGCAGCCCGCTTCCCCAGAATCTCAGCATTCATCTGAATCACCAGGTTGAAGTATTTGCTCAGATTGGCAGTCTGCTGGACCAGAAGACTCAGGTTGTTGTTGATGTCAATGAATCCCAGTCTCTCATACACCTTCTGCGTGTATTCACCCAGAAACTCCTTTTTGTTGCAGTTCTGAAGCAGAAAGTGGGCGTAGACGTCGATTTTGTTCACAATTTTAGGAAGGCGATTCAGCCCACTGAAAAATGACTTCTTTATGCACAGAACAACACGGTCGAAGAATTCCTCGTTGCTTCGAACTGCGTCCTGGACAATCTTCACGTCCTTGTACTCGTCAAATGCGTGCAAATGGTCCCTGAACTCGTCCAGCATCTTCACGATGCCCAGTTCCTCGAGCTCCTTGATTTTCATAGGCCTCGTCTCAAGCCCACTCTTCTCTACACGAATTCGAGTTGCCTCAAGTGACTTCATTGTCTCGCTATACGTCCCATAGAACTCGAGAAGTAGTCGAATGTTTGCCTTTGGCCCAATATACGGCTTGAATGCCCCCATTGCCTTGTAGTCTGTGCTCCTGAGTTCCAGTAGCACACTGTGACACGTCTTGTCTATCTTGTCCGATAGCCTGAGCTGCTTTAGTAGGTTGTTTAGCCTTGTTTTGCTGTTCTGTAGATTCATATGGGTCCCATTCTGACTCAGAATGACCATTCCACCCTTTTTCTCTTTTCAACCTTGTTATTTCCTTCTTCCTTCATCAACCCCATTGGCCACTGCTTCAACTACTGCAATTTGTTTGTTGATCCCCTTTATGGAAATTACTGTCTTAGGCGACGCATGCCGAATCATTGGATTTGGAACTGGTAGACCAATGCACAAGCAAACCATCTTCGTTACGTCTGATAAGCACACACTCGTGCAGTATTCCGACTTCAACAAGCACGATCAGCGATTCAAGTCAACCAGCCAGGTCTACGAGGAGGTGAACAAGGGAGACGTCCATTGCGTATTTGATGGAATTCTGATCAATAAGAAGGAGTACGACCTGGTGGTCTACGAGACACCAACAGGTGGCTTCAGCCTGGTTCTCTTTGAGGACAGGAAGAAGAGCAAGGAGTTTGGAGAGGCATTCATTGCATCACCAATCTACTACTACGATTCAATGAGAAACAAGGGCGTGATCATTGGACAGACCAAGAAGGACGTGATTGGCTTCTACGACATCGAGCCGAGTCAGCTCGTAGCCAGAAACATGGAAATCAGAAACAAGAACCTCTTTGCGAGACACAGCAGTGCCATTGTCGACCTGTACTCGAACATGAAGCCGCTTCTTGTGCTTGAGACTGAGAGTGGTGGAAACAAGCACCTTTCTCTTTTCAGCGTGGTTGAGGAGACTGTGACTGCCATTGCGGAGTATCCGCTTGGGGCAGTGACAAGCCCAGTTCAATTCATTCGAAATCCAAAGGAAAAGTGCAAGATCGACGCGTGGTTTCTGAGAGACACTGGTGCGTCGACGAGGCTGATTCAGCTTGAGAATGCGGTTGCGCCTGTCGATGCGCTGAAGAAGGTCGATGGAGCATCGAGTGCAGATCGATTCATCAAAAAAGAGAGGCGATTTCCTGTTTCAGGAGATGCCGTTTTTCAGGCGGAAAAGGAGCACGACGTCCTTGGGGCGAAGATGCTGAAAACGGGGGCTGGGCGACTTGAGCGCTTCCACGTCGCAGACATCGCCTCTCGTGGCGTCCAGCAGCTCTTTTTCATCGACCAAAACAGGCGGATGGTCGTCCGTGTCCTGGACGAAAAGGGCGTCTCTGAGGAGAAGGCGGCGGCCGTGGTCTCCTTCGTGGGCAGCACCAAAAACAGCGACATCAGCGCGGTGACGTCAGCGGATCTCGGAAACGAGGGAAAGCAGTCGCTGATTCTGGGGCGGAACAGCGTCCACGACGGTGGGGAGATGCTGTATCTGCTGCGACTTGTCGTGAAATCAGGCGACAACAAGGTGGAGTTCTTCACGGCCACCAAAACAGATGGCCACCAAATTTATGTTCCAGGAGCCACTCATTTTGTGGGGCTGAACAACGGCAGCTACTGCGTGATGGCACCGCAGTCACCGCAGGCTGGGCCTGGTGCCCTCTCTCAGCGTGGATCATTCGTTGGTGTCGGATCAACCCACTTCTTTCTGACCTACTTTTACACCTCACTTCCATTCACGCCAAATGACCAGTTTGTTCTCGACTGCTCTGCCTCGATATTCCCAACGACAATCACAGAATTCACGTTTCTGGGGCAGCAACTCCACTACCGCTGCTTCTTCACGTCCCCACATCTCCACCTGGTGATGGCAGTGCTCTTTGTGACTGCCTTCATCACCATTGCACTGATCGTATATCTCTCCTGGTTGGAACGTAGGAAGTACAAGATCAGGACAGAAAATGACAACATTCAGAGACTCATGAAGGTTATTTAATTGGAAGTGATCAATATTGATAAGGTTAAATTGTATTGGTAATAGTGTAATATACTATACACTGGTGTCATTCTGGTTGGTATCACCCTTGCACCTTTTTGATATTTCTGGCTCATTCAGGCCACCTCCCAGTTTCTGATTAGCCCAGATCAGTCCAACTATTTTGTAGAGGAGGACACAGATCAGTCCACAAATGTACAATTCAGCAGCAGAGTAGTCTGGGCTGATTCGAAGAAGGAGAGAGGCAACAAGGGGGGAGACAGTGTACGCCAGATTCAGTAGGCAGCTGATTCGACTCAGTGTCATTGGCAGTTGACTGGGAGAGACGACCTTTGGAATGCATGGCCAGTAGCAGGCCATCATTGGGGCAGCAAGAGCAAGGGCACCAATTGAAACTGGGACACTGGCAAAGCGTAGGAGAAAGTTGGCGTGAGCAACCAGAATAAGCAATGCACTGGCAAGCACAACAAAGAGCTTGTAGCCACAGTGGTCGACGAAGAGGCCAACCAGCGACTGCAGGAAGATCGAGGATCCCTCAACGCATCCAAGGAATCTGCCAGCTTCAACCTGAGAGAAGCTGAATCGAATTTGGAGCATCAGTGGCGCAATGTTGTAGAAGGGAGCCCAAATGGCACCAAAGAGGAAGACGCACTGGTAGACGAGGAAGAGTAGGTGACTGTCTGAGACTGGGGCAGAGACAGGGGTCTCCTCACTCTCATCTTCATCCTTAGGTGACTTGTAGGTGAAGAGTGACGTCATCAGGGCAGCAGCAAGGCAGATGAGAACGAATCCACCTTTGCAGAGGAAGATGGCACCGTAGGAGAGGGCTGTCTGTGGGGAGAAGTAGAAAGTGAAGACAGTTCCAAGGCGACCTATCGAAAGAAAGAGCCCAGTGGCCACAGCCAGCTCGCTACCAGCGTAGTAGGCGGTGATTCTACTCTCACAGAACACGAAGAACGATTCGAGGCCAATTCCGTAGAAGACGCGTCCTAGGGCAGCCAGGCTGATTGATTCCATCAAAATTGCGGTAGTGAAAATGGCCTGGCCCAGAAAGACGAATGTGGCCAAAATGAACAGAATTCCATTTCTGATGAATCCGTGGAGGTGGCCGAATGCGAGTGGGCAAACTGTGTTTGGGAGGGCGTAGGCCGTGTAGAGGACAGCAACCTGGTGAGCAGTTGCTGGTGATCCACCAAATGCGATGCTGCTGTTGATTGCAGCCGGAATGTCGTAGACGAAGTAGAGCAGAAAGAGCGCAATGGATGCAACTGCAACAAACTGGTCTCTCTCTTTCATCTGATATTTATTACAGTCATTTATTAGTGATCAATATTATTAGGGTGTTTCAGAAAGTAAACAAATGATCCATTTATTGCCTATGTGAAGTAGAGGATGTTTGACTTCTTCTTTGATAGCACGTCATTGATTCCATTGGCAAAGTCAACCTGTGTGATTCTGGTTCTGTTTCCTCGTATTGCACTCATCCCAGCCTCGATGCAAACTGCCTTGCATTGGGCACCGTTGAATCCCTCAGTCGAACGAGCCAGCTCCTCGAAATCAACCAGGTCGTCAACCTGCATCTTTCTGGCGTGAATCTGCATGATTCTCTTTCTTCCTGCTTCTGTTGGAAGTGGAAACTCGATCTTCCTGTCCAATCGACCAGATCGAAGCAGGGCTGGATCCAAAATATCAACTCGATTTGTGGCTGCTATGATTTTGATATCAGACTGACTCGTGAATCCATCCAACTCATTCAGCAGCTCAAGCATCGTCCTCTGCACCTCTCTATCTCCAGTCTTGTCCGATGCACTGCGCTTTGTTCCAATTGCGTCAATTTCGTCAATGAAAATGATACAAGGCCTCTTTTCCCTTGCTAGTTGAAATGTCTCTCGTACCATTCTGGCTCCGTCACCAATGTACATTTGGACTAGCTGTGGCCCAGCCAGCTTCAGAAACGTGGCATTGGTCTTGGCTGCGCATGCTCGTGCCATGAGCGTCTTTCCTGTTCCAGGTGGCCCATACATCAATACGCCCTTTGGTGCCTGAATATTCAGTTTGCTGAATCGGTCTGGATAGAGCAGTGGTAGAACAATCGCCTCAGTCAGCTCCTCAATCTGCCTCTCCATTCCGCCTATGTCGTCGTACGTTTCAGCTGGCTTCCCATCCAACTCCATCGCAAGCACCTTTGAATCGTAGGTCGCAGGCAACTTCTCAAAAATGACATTTGTTTCCTTGTGAAGGGCAACTGAGTCACCAGGCTTCAGCTCGTCAGTGGGAACGAGTCCAAGCATTTCGAGGTAGCTCGTCTGCCTCGTTGACGAGTTCACAATTCCACTGTTTCCATCTCCGTCTTTGAATGTCTCTAACACATTTCCAACCAGATAGGGCAGATTCTTGTTTAGTTTTATTTTGTCCATGTTTTCAACAATGAATCTCGACTTGTTCATCGTATCGTTCTTCACTCTGCTTAGTTCAGCTCCAAGCATCCTTGTTTCCGCCTGTATCATCCTCGTTCTCTCGCTGATTTGCTCAGGCGAGAGGTCTTCAATTTTGTCGTATTCAGCCATGGGCTAAAAACACGTCTCATAAAATGGAACAAATGATGACTGATATCAGTTTGTTACAAATATTTGTTGATGGTGGATTTGTACTTGTTTCGGAGTGTCCTATACGACTTCTCAATGTGCTGGGCGCACTTGTGGTACTGCGTGTTAGGTCCATTGAATTTGTAGCAGTTTGTGACCATCAGAAGCACATCCTCTTCAAATTGATCAAATTCAGCATATTCCCCATTTGCATGTTTCATCTTGATCGTAGACATGTCCATGGGCTGCTTTATCACAGATCGATATTCAGGCACGTCCTTGGATGAGACTGGATCAAAGAACGGCCAGGCTGATGGATTCGCATACAGTTCTGCTATCATGAAATCAATATAATTTCGTAGGAAGCCAATCTTAGTCTGTGGTGGCTCATTGTCCTCCATTGAATTCAAAACTGGATCATTTGTCTCCCTCACCTCGTGATACTCGTTTATCTCTCCCATTTTATCCTTGATTTTGTCGTACATTTTGATCAATAACTCATTCTGTCTCAAGTAGTTCATGTCTCCGTGTATCTTGCATTCCATTGGTGTCCCACCATCGTAGTCCTTGATGTATCCCTTCCAGGCTGTTGACTGGATGTCAGCCGTAAACCCCTGCTTCCTGAAGAATCCAATGGCTGAGTTGTCTGCGTACGTCATAAAATACAAATTGATCAATTCTAGGCTCTTTTTGACTTTTTTGTTGCTGTTTTGCTTCTTTGCAACTGCCTTGTTTTCAAGAAGGCTGTTGATGTCTGAGACTGTGATATTGTTGGATAAGAAGTTCCTTGGCTCCTTACAGTATTCGCTAAACTGCATTTTAACCAATTCCTTGAAACAATTCATCAGAAATCCACCGTAGCCCTTGATGTGCTTGAAGGAGTCCACCGCAAAAAAGACAATTTCAATCAGGTTTCTTTCGTAGGCGGGTCTGAAGCAAATTGCACCAATGAGCTCGTTCTTCTCGTCAACTAACGTGCAATTGCACTGCTGTGGATCCATCACCTGTCTCATGATGTACTCTTTGGGCATTTTTGGAAGCATTCTTTGAAAGAGGATCTTTATGTCCACAAGTCGATCCAGACTGGTTAAATTGTCTCTGAAACTGACCAATTCCAGTGAATATCTGTTACTTTGGAACTCATCTATCTTCTCAGTCATCTTTTTCACTTTTGAAGATTCTTGTAATTTGAATAATTCCATGGGGATAAAATGAGTAGCGATTCTGGAAAATGCGGGGTTGAAATTGAAGGACTCTTTGAAGAAATAGGACGAGAAGTGGACGAGTGTGGTGACGAATTGAGTAAGAGAATTGCACCTGATATTCTGCCTGCTGAAATTGTGGGTGGTCTTGAGACCAAGAGGTGACTGACTCTGTTTATTCCATAAATACCTTGTCTCCTTCAAGCAGGTACCTTCTCGTTGTCTTATCCTTCTCAATCGTAGCCACTCGTACGACTCCTCCTGACGAGCAGTCTCTGTTTATTGCAAGCCTGACCAGTGTAGTTGCAAACTCAATGGCTTCCTTAAATGGCATATTTGGCCTATATTGCGAATCCATCATTCCGTAGATGAATGCTGATCCAGAACCAGCAATTGTGGCATCAGTTGGGATCACTGTTCCATCCAGTGCTATTTTGTATATTTCAAAACCATTGTCTACTCCACCCATAATGAGTGATGCTCGAAGCACGTCTTTGTTTTCGTAGATGAGTCTTCCAACAAGATTGGCTGCCTTACTAATTGAGAAGCCAGTCTTCTCGAGGTACGCCAACTTCTTGATCTCCTTTGCTGCGTATCTTTGAAGCCATTGTGTTTGAGAGGCTACCCCACACCTGCAACAGAGGATGTTATCAGCCAGCTGCGTGATCTTATCGCTGTAGTGGCACGCTACAAACTGCCCTCTTGTTGTGCGACTGTCTGCTGCAAACATTATTCCATCTTCGTACTTGAAAGCAAGGATCGTAGTTCCAGTAAGTTCTTGTTCCTGTTCCATGGGCTACAAACAATTCAAATTCTGTTGGTTCAAATCCCATGGAATAAACTTTTATTTATCACTAAATTTGTCTTTGAAATACTGGAGGATTTCTCCCCGGTAACTGTTTATTTTACTTGAATCGTAATCAACTTGTTCAAACCTTTTTCTGATGTCTGCCAGCACAAATACACCGCAATTCCAACTGTCTTTCTGTATGGAACAGTCCAACTGCTTTGTAACTGGAATCAATTCGTCTTTTTTCAGGTCTGGATTGATCCATCTGATCATTTTTCTAATTGTAGAATGGTAGCTTGTGTTGTTGCCATAGAATGAATCAAATTCCTCAACCTCTTTCTTCTTTGAATCGTAATAGAAATATATCCAGTGGTTGCTATTCTGATTTATCAGTATCAAAATGCTATTTGTTTTAGTACAGTTGTTAGATGTCAGTATTCTACCTAGTCGTCTCATGTTCATTGGTACACGTTCAGTTGTTGCCTCATCCTGTGTGATCATTTTTTCTAAAGAAATGAAATTCAGTCCATCAATGAAACCAACGTCCAGGTGGCTCTCTAACACCAACTTTATGAATACGCACATCACTTCATCATTCAGCCACGTTTCTTCATTGAGTGTATCAAGTGAATTTGAATCACATTTGTATTTCTTGAATCCAGCAATTACCTTTTTGTCTTTTTTGATTTGATCGATCTTCTTCTTGGTGATCTGAATAGCTTTATCTCTGGCAGCTTGCTCCAGACCCTGTTCCCGGATTGTTTTTCTTTCTTTTGTGACATCCAATATCAAGTACCAACAGTGTTAATGGCACCCCTGCTACAACTATACAAATAATCATTACAAACAATAAAGTAACGTTCTTGTGATTCTTCATCATTTAAACAAGGGGGTTTCTGATTATCTACATTAAAATTATAAACTTGTGAATACTGTGATTGAAGATGTTATTGTCACACATGACATTGTTTACTTACAAGTTGATATGTTGATAAACAAAGGTATAAAAGTAAATAAACAAACGGAACCCATCCGGGAGCCATGATGAACAATCTAATAAACAGTCACACACATACATCACTCATATTGTATTACAGATCGAGACACGCCCTACCGGCCGATCATGACAGTTATAATGCCTGATACTTCTTCAGGTGACGTGAGAGATTATTCTAATCACGATTTAACAACATCAATGAAATAGAACAGTCCTATCTCTATCTTTACTGTTTTGAAAGTGTTGTACTTTTAGGCTTCTCTATTTTCCCTATCTCAGAAACAGAATGATTCAACTTAGGTGGCGTATTCTTTCTGAACTGCTCCAACTCCTCCAGAATAACCTTCTCCTTCTGATCAATCTCCTTCTGAATGTCTTTTTTCTTCATTTCTTCCTGTTGAGTGTTCTTATTGGATTCTAACTTCTTAGCCTGACTCTTTTTCTTCTGTTTTGTTTCATTCTTCATTTTCTTGAGCTTATCCCGGGTGTTGTTTACGCTTCGTAACAGATCTTGTGTCATTTTAATCAGCTCCACATTGGATCGAACCAACTCCTGGTTGTCCATTCTCAATGCTCGAAGCATCATCAACTCCTTGTTCTTCAATTCCCTGTTCTTCAGGTACTCCATCTTCTTCTGCCTCAACTTCTGCTTCTCCTTCGCAATTCTGTACATCATGGCCATCATCTTCTTCCTCTGTATCATTTCATGTGCTCTACGCACCCTACGAATCTCTTCCCTCTTTCTTTGAGCATTCTTGAAGTCTTCTGCTATCAGTGTTCCCATACCAACCGCATTTGGCTTCTCAGCCTTCTTCTCTACCACTGACTTCTCCCTCAACACCTTGTCAATCTTCTGCTGTGCCTTCTCGACATCTGTAGCCTGTTTTGGTGCTGGTTTCACACTCTTAAAATCAACCCCATTGACTTTTTTGAAGTCTACGCCATTTTGTGTCTCTGTTTCCTTATTTTTGTTTCCTTTCACTGCATTTACGACTTCTTTCATCGAAACAACCTTCTTCATCGCCCCTCTTTCAAACTCAGGTCTGTTCCCGTATTTGGATACATTCTCCTTGTACTTCATGTAGGCGTCCCTGCTTGGAAACTTCCTGATTGTGATGAATGGAATATTGAAATTCACATTTGGATTCTGTGACATCATCTTGTCTACTTCCGATACATCATTTGTTCTCAGCATCTTCTCAAATATCTGCCCTGGCAACCTGCTTCCCTCTTCATTTCTTTCTGTGTTTTGTTCCACGTTTCTCTCTCCATTCAGTGGTATTTGCTTTGCTATGATTGTCATTCTCCTGGTTGTTTTCACACCAATTGGTGCATTTTGTTTGTTAATCAAGTTATTCAAATTGGATTCCCTTCTATTCATCTTCTGGTGTTCTGCTTCGTGCTGATTAAACTTCTTCGTAAGCGTGTCCACTTTCGTGTCTATTCCATGCACCGTGTTTAAGATGACATCGACCTTAGTCAGTTTCTTCTTGTTCAGGAAGACAAATCTTTCTACCTTTTGTGACAAATCCACCAACCTGCTTCTCCCAGTGCCTATGTAGATTCCGACGTCCACCATTAAAAACATCACAGTGAGTGCTGCTATCAGCATCGCTCCATGTACTCTGTTAACGGTCTTCATGTATTTGGATGCTTCTCATTTTTTAAGTAAACAGAATTGAAACAGTTTGAAGTAATAAACAACCCATTAGTCATTCAGTGTATCAAGAAGAATCTTCTTTGGGTTGGTGCAATGCACGTATCCCTTTGATTCAGCCTCTATGACCCTGTTCAGTGCAAGAAGCACCAACTTCTTGTTATTAGTTTTGCATAATTCAGGTAAAATGCGCTCTATGAAGTGGTGGAAGTACCTGTGTTTGATCAGGAACTCAAATGTCATCTCATTTGCATCTTCAATGTTTGCCACACTGTGAATGAACATGTTTCTATTGCATTTTAGAAATGGTAGTTCAATCCGGTCTGAAAACTTGCTAAAGTTGTCTACGAAATATGTGAGTGTCTCCTTATCGTAGTCAAATGTCTTAACCGAATGCTCTATCAGAAAGTTGATCAGTGTTCTGTACTCCTTTTTCTCCTGCAAATGTTTCGTATACTGGTTTATTAGGGTTTTGCAACATATTTCATTTTCAGCTGCAAATTTCACAACTTCATTTGGATTTAGGATTTTTGTGAAGTCTGCATCTGCTGTTGTGGTATTAAAGATCACATTCTTCTGCTTTGAGAATGTGAGGAATCTGAGAGCCAGCAGTAAACTGATTTGTGACACCTCGTAGAATACGTTGGTTGTCTGGCTTTGAATCACCTTTGTGTTGTGGTCTACAATATGTGGATTTAGAATGCAATAGATCAGCTGCAAACTGTCTACCATATGTTCCTTGGACTGCTTTGGATATGTTCCAGTGATCAATATTTGAATCAGGTCACACTCGTTAATCTGTTCATTAATGTTGAATTTGCTGTCATATTTCAATTTGTAGCAGCAATATTCAATCACATTAGGGAATTCCAAATATCTGTTAGCAAATATATCATAGTATACTCCTGTTACCTTGTATGATGATGCCCATTTTGATAAATCAAAGTTGTCTTCTGCTCTACCTGATTCAAATTTCTCAACAGCTGCATGCATTTCTGGTTTGATGTCTGTGAATTCACCAAAGTTTCCACGCACCAAATTCAGAATTGGATCACCGCTACTGATTTTGAAATTGGTGTTCAGGAACTCATTGAGCTTGTCAAAGAGTGACATGTTTCGTGTGAAATGCAACTGTAGCATGTGAAGATACATGTGCAGCTGCTTCAATTGATGTGAAGTATGCTTATCTTTGCATATTTTGATTTCCAATAGTATTATGCAACGTATTTCTTCAAGAAAGTAGAGCTTTTTGTTTTCCAAGTTCTTTAGCGTGTACAAGTTCACATAACTTGGTGTGGTACTAGTTTGTGAGACTACATCTTTGTCAAGCTGTTCATCTGTCCTGTTGTTTCTTGCTGTTTCTTCTCTTATCATTCTGTCAACCTCAATGTAATTGTTTAGCTTTGTTACTGTTTCCTTCGTATTTTTTATGTTCAGGAAAATGCAAATCTGTTCGTAGAGATTGATATAGAACGACGTGCTCCATATACACACTGGCTTGTATTTCACATTACCTTTTTTACTGACCATGGGTGTTTGGGTGTCATATCAATCATTTAGAAGGAGTATTAAAATTTTGATTCCCGCAAATTACATTCTATTCAGAGAGTCAACAATTTGATCCAATGAATTGATTAGGTCGTCAATTTCAACAGCAATGGCTTGTTTGCTCTCCTTTCTACTTGCTTCCGCATTGAATTTGATGAATTTTCGTCTGAAGTTGTTTAGTGAGTTCTCCAAGGTGTTTTTCATATAAAAATGGCATAAATTTGTTAAGGAAAATACGTCTATGAGGGATAATATGTGGTGAAAATGTACTTCTAAGCTACCTACTTGTATTCTAATGAATTGCCTACCTAAATCAGTCTCTTTCATTCTTTTCGAAGTAGATCATATCCAATGCCTAAGCCTGCTACCTGTTTCTATTTATGGTCATCCTTGTTATCATTTCATCCATCTTGATCATGTCATCTGTCCCATCATTGCAAAAAATATTAAGATGCTTCGTTTCTTTACGGAGTTTATTAACATAACAGACGTGTTGAATCATGATTTATTCACACATGTACTTTGGTATAGAAGATCAAAGCTGTTTGCTGGGGATAGGTCCCTCATCTTTCTCCTTGTTCATGCTAATGTTTTCAATCAGTCTGTTAAACAAATCATTTACGCCAGAAATTTTCGATGATAAGTCCTTCATATTGCTGCTGTTTTGTAGACTATCGTCTAACTGCTTGTTAATCTCAGCCAATTGGCTGTATAGCTCCTCAGTCTGTTCGTGTAGCTCTCGTACTTTGGACTCAGTGATATTTTTCATGACGGGGATGGGTTATTAGTGGAAATTTTTGTCAAGTTTTTAATATGTTCTAACATCATTATATTGTAATAATCCATCAAATTAGGATATTGAAACCCATATTCAGGTATTACTCGTATAATACATAAAAATGATCATACCATAACAGGATGCCCCATTTATTGTCTAGAATGAGTCAAAATTGATAAAGTTTGACGATCGCTTGTTCTTTGTCGTGAGCTGATCCTTTTGCTCTGCTGATATATTGTGCGTCTTGTAGTGTGCGTTCAAGTTGTCAGATCTTGAGAATCCCCTGCTGCAGCCGGGATATTTGCAGACAAACGGCTTCTCGCCCGTATGCATCTTGTTGTGTCGTTTGAGATGCTCAAATCGCTTGAATGCGCGGTTGCATCCTGGTACTTTGCATTGGAACGGTCTGTCTTTCTTGTCGTCGCTGTCCATCTGCTTTCCTCTTGGCTTTGAAAATGGCTTCAATATTCCCCTCATAATCATATTCTTTTGATGGTTGTGAAACTCCTTCATATCTTCCATTTTATTCTGGGGTCTCAAATTTATCTGTCCCAGCCCAAAAATGTCATTAAATTTGCTGTATGTGCTGAATATCTTCTGTGACTTGAGCTGCATGGCCTCGCTAGCTGTGAAATATGTCTTAGGCGTCTTATAGAGCAATGCATCGTATGGATCCTCCGTCTCCTTCTTCTCCTCTTCCGCCTTAGGAGCACTCTTCTTGAGCTGCTTCGACAAGAAGTCTCCGTCCTCAAGTATCTTCTTGTACAAATCCATGTCATTGTATTTGAATGTGATTGGCTGCTTGTTCTCCTTTTTGCTTACACCACCGTTCTCCAACGCAAACTTCTTTGCTTCTTCCAGTAGTCGCCCTTCAAGGAAGTTTGTGCAAATTGCGTATTTTGCATTTTGTACGAAGCTACTTACGTCTTCAGTGTAGACCTGTTGCTGTAGCCACCCGTAGATCGCTTCTGGCATCGTGGTTTCCGTAATTTGCTCAGTCAGGAGGACGTAGCTCCGTAACGAAATATACATCAATGAGTTTATGTCGTATATTTCCATCTGCTCATTGCCTCCAGCCAGAGCGCATGCCTTGTGCTCGTTGATCTGCTCAGTCACCTCGAATATTTTTGCATTGTACTCCTCGATCATATTTTCACAATTGGGCATTTTTGTTTTTAGGCTTTAACTAGCCAATCAAAAACCACTATTCATTTGTAGAGTTCTCATTGGATAAAGGGTTGAAATAAACTATGTTGTGATGTAGGGAGACAGGTATCAACAATTAAAACATACACGAGTTAATTTGATACTGAATTTGATCCATATTTGATTATTCATTCAATATCAAAATATGATGAAAGAAGGCCAATCAGTTACATAGCAGAATGTGACATTTACTGATATTTGATTGGTGTAGAAGACTACAGTTACCATAACGGGCAAAAGATGACTTGATCAATTGGCTGTACTCATTAGGTAAACTGTCTCCTAATTGACTGAATAATGTTACACAGATTATACTAAGGATCTTCATTTTCATCAATCGTAACACTTATCAGTAACGGTTTACTGGTATTTCCTGTGAGACAATGTCCATTATGTGTCTTCTAAGCTGTTATACTCCATTTATTGGTGATTATGATAATATGATCAGTTGATTCCATTTTATCAGACTAAGACAGTAACACATGCGGTGATAATTGAATATACTGTTATAAACACCATCACGACCACTATTTTCCAGTAAGGTCAAAAACATATAAAACTTTGCACTTTAAACATTAAACAAGTCAAAAACATTAAATTTAGCAGTAAAACATGTGATAACAATCCACCACTACTCATTGCACCAAAAAGTGATTTCAAAGACCTGTTTTTTCTGCTCACAATAAAATAAAATCAGTACATCAACCTAAATTATATTAATAATAAACAGTGCCACTAACAACAAATTCATAAGTTCAAAACAATATCATTTTCTTATCACCAATGGATATTAAATTCCTTTTTAAGAGCAAAACTTTTAATGGCCCTTATGATTTCATACAGTGATATTGAGAACAAAGTTGTTGAAATCTTGTCAGTAGGTGGAAAGTACGACCGTGATCTAATCAGGAAGAGCCTGAACAAGTACATTGATGGTAACAGAAAGAACTTTGTCATATTCATGAACAAGATCAGCAGCACTCCTGAGGAGACTCTAAATGAGATGTACAAACACGTTGTTGAGAAACACGCTGACTTCATCGTGGATGTTGAGAAGCAGAACAATTCGCTGTCATTCAACATCAACAAGAAGTCACTGTGCAAGGACATCGTGACTGCTGTTCTCAAGAAGAAGGAACAATTTGGTTCAAATGAGACTGGAAATGGCCATACGATGGTGCTTGACTATTCCAGCCCGAATATCGCCAAGATATTCCACGTAGGCCACTTCAGAACAACAATTCTGGGCAACTTCATCAAGAACATTCTGGTATTCAATGGCTACAAAACAGTCTCAATCAACTACCTCGGTGACTGGGGAAAGCAGTTTGGGCTTGTTCTGCTTGGATACGAAATGTTTGGATCTGAGGAGAAGCTGAAGGAGGACTCCTTGATGCACCTGTTCCACGTCTACGTTGAGGTGAACAAGCACAAGGAGCTGCAGCAGAAGGCACGAGACATCTTCAAGGAGATGGAAGAGGGAACAAACCAGAAGTATCTGGACCAGTGGAAGATGTTCAGGGACATGTCGATTGTCAAGTACAAGAAACTGTACAAGAAGCTGAATATCGAGTTTGACGTCTATTCTGGGGAGTCACTCTACAACGAGCGAGCTAAGGAATACGCCAACAAGTGCAGTTTCGCAACCAAAGACAGCGACAAGTCGATCTTCGTCGACCTTGGCCCAGAAGGCGTGACACTGCTTCTAAAGAATGACGGAACCACCCTCTACATCACCAGGGACATTGTTGCAATTCAGGAGAGGATGGCCCAGTACAAGCCAAAGGAGATCATTTACGTGGTTTCAAGTGAACAAGACCAGCACTTCAAGCAGCTGTTCAAAATGGCAGAGATGGATGGATACGACCAGAGCCACTTCAGGCACGTGAATTTCGGACTGGTGAAGGGGATGTCAACTCGTGAGGGAACAGTTCACTTCATTGATGACGTCATCGATACGGCCTATGAAGTATTCTACGACTTCGTGAAGGACAAGGAGAATGTGCTGAACAAGAAGGACACTGCCCTACAACTAGCCATTTCATTCCTGTTGGTGAATGACTTTGGAGCCAAACGAATCAAGGGATACACGTTTGACATCAAGAAGCAGGCTACGACTCAGAAGGGACAGGCGTTGGGGCCTACGATCCAGTACACGCATTGTAGGCTGGTCAGCATTGGAGAGAAGAATAGCAACATGGCAGCACCAGTTGAGTCAATCGACTTCAGCAAAATTCAAGACCAGGAATTGTGCAACTTGGCCTACAAATTGCTCTGGTTTGAGAAGATCAACGAAATGACTCTCTTGGACTACGAGCCATCGAGGATTGTGCTCTACCTGAAGGATCTTTGTAATACGATCAACAGTGCAATCAACAACTTCATCGTCAAGGACGAGGAGAAGTCTGTTGCTGCTGCGCGACTGGCTCTGTTCAAGGCTGCTCAGGTTGTTCTTGGTAATGGAATCAGAATACTTGGATTGCTTCCACTTAATAAAATGTAGGGGAAATTATTATTATTTGCCCATAGAATGGCTGTCAAAATATCACGTGGATTTGTGAAGAGATTCATGAAGGCACTGTTTACGCTAGTGCTCTGGTTCCTATCCATTCCAAAGCGGGCTGTAGAAAAGAGTTTTCCTTGTGGGATTACACTGCTTGGTCCAGATAACATCCATGTCATTGAGGAAGGAGACTGGATAATCGTATTCAACAAGCCATCAGCAATAAAATGCAAGGATTTGTTGGAGCATAAAATTGGTCTGATTCAGGTGAGTGATTTGGAGAAGGCGAAATTGGCTGCCTTGTTTCAGCCACGAGAGTATTCAGAAATAATCCACTACAAAAATGGAAGAATATCAAGCAAGCACGGAAACAGGGCCAAGTTGAGTGAGGTGTCGTATGCAACTGCATTTGATCACTACGTCTTCTTCAGGCTCAAGGACGTCCAGAAGGCATTCCTCAGCATCAATGGCCTGAAGAACATCATGATCAGTGTCAAGGGCATTGTAGAGGATTTGATCAACAATGAGATTCTCATTGTCTGATTCATCATTCGTAGAGTTTCTTGACTTCCTTGTACAAATTGCTGTCACATGGCTTGTTTTCAAAGATGCATTCAAGACACTCCATTCCTTGATCAGAAACCCAAATTGCCTTATCAAAGAGACTCTTTGTCTGTTTGAAGAACTTTCTGAAATCAAGATAGTCGCACGAATCAAATCGATAGACCAGGATCACACGGTCTGTGAAGTATTCATCAATGGTATCACCAAATGCACCAGATACCTCATCGTATTTGATACACACCTTGTAATCTTCAAGATACTTCGATGTTTTAAGCAGAAATGTTCTCTTGTTTTCTGGTGTAACGTACATGAATGAGCCAAGTTCCTTGATGCAGCATTTGGCATCACTTTTTGTTAAATCACAAATCAGGCTCAAAACACCTCTGTTGAAACTGGTGAGTTCATTGATTGAATTTCCAAGAACGTTGTAGTTCGCCAATGTGTTGTAGTTGCATTTCACATCCAATTCCTCAGCAGCTAGAAAGTCCTTGAATTCCTCAATTTCACTAAAAATGAGACAAATGGCCTGAATTTCTTCTCTACTGATATAATTCAACTCACTTAGAAATTCCTTAGTATGCAGAATGATCAATCTGATCACGTCTTGGACATCCATACTGTGATTTAGGTACAGATATGATGCAATAAATGATATATTCTCCTTGATCAGCAGTCTATATTCTGTAAACCACTGCAAATAACTAGATTCATGAATTGTATCTAATCTGCTATGGATGTAGAGCATCTCTGTCTTTACAACGCCACTCTTTATAAATTTGTCAGGTAGATCTGTGCTGTATTCATTTTTGACTGTTTCTTTGAACCTGAAAAATGCTTTAGCAAATCCAAGAACAAATGTTCTGTTTCTGGTCAGCAACAATCTATTGAATGTTTTGGTGATTAATGAATCCGTAATTTTGATCAAAAGTGATGCCATCGCCGTAGAACTCTCCCTTGCCTCGCAGTACAGTTCCATTTGATCACTGGTTTCCTTGACTTCTTTCAGCAGAAAAGTGAATTGCCACTCTGGTCTATCGAGTCTACTGGTCTCCTTGTTCGATAGGAAGTGGAACATGAACTTGTTTTGGATTCTTTTGAAGCAAAAGTCCACAAAAAGTGGCTGCTTGAAGTAGTCCTCCAGCCTCACCAAAAATGACAGATTGTGCATTGCATCTGCGATATTCTCTGATTTCAGTGACTCAAACACATCCTTGATCATGCCATCAATTGTTTTATCAACAAACTCATTTGCCTTGTGCTTCAAATTCGGAAATTTGTCTAAATTCATTGCATAAAACCTGTCTAATTCCCTAAACAGCCCCAAATTCATCCTGAAATCCAGGCTGTTAATTTCCATTTCCAATTCTCTAATTCTCCTGGTGTAATTCGTATGAAGAAACTCCTTTTGCTCATCTTTATAGGCCTCTACGCTCCTCTTCAGATCCTGATACTCCACCTGTTTCTCCTTGTAGTCTTTCTTCAGCATATTTGCTATTTTTGCAATTGCGTTGTATTTAATCACCTTCTCCTCCAACTTGTTGTCCAATTCCTCCTGTTTGAGCAATGCTGCTTCCTCCTCGCGTGTTGCCACGTCCAGCTCCTTCTCAACCTGCTTCTTTGTTCTGCTCTCAAAAAACATTTATGGGTTCATTGCACCTGTTTTACCGTGATTGTCTCATCCAACACCTTCAACTTCTCTGCCTGAATATTTCAGCTCTTTTAAAAAATGAAAATTCTAGGCCCATGCCAAATCCATCAAATATTTCCAAAGAGACACTCTTCAATGATCTACCAGAAGAGATCAAGAAGCAGATTATTGAACTAAGGAATGCAAGCCAAGGCAAATTCACATTCCCAATGTCACACCCACTGAAGGCATCTTCAAATGCAGCCATTCCAAATTGTAATAAAATGCAAGAGATGTTCGTGGAAATAGTGAGGATGACGAATGAGCTCTCAGACAACACGTCAATTGAAAAGAACTTCCTTTTGGAAACCAAGGAGTTCAGTAGATTCAGAGATCTGTACAGAAACAACATAAACAACAAGGACGTCCTGAATGAATTCAACAAAACAGTCGCAATGTTGGAGACGAAATACACCGAGATATCAAGGAGACTGAAGAAGAAAACAATTTGACTGCCCTAACAATTTATTAATTGCTAGAGCGTGATTGATTCTCTTACATTGTGGTACAGTTCAACTGGAGAACCTGTCGTGTTTCTCCTTTCTGCTTCGAAATGTCGTAGATCCCGATTCAAAGGTGGTACCCCATGGTTCCAGTGATTTGACTGGCTCTCGCTTTCGCTTAAAGTTGCTTTTGATGTGGCGGATCATTTCAGGCAGTGTCTCAAACTTCGTGTGGGCTGTTTGGACTCTGCCTCCAAATTTGTTGTCAAATTTGGTTGGTTTCTTGGCTTCTTCTTTCACCACTTCCTTCTTAGGTGTCTCTTCTGCCTTTTTTGCAACTTCCTTCTTGTTGACCAGGAATGACGTCACGAAGTTCCACATGCTCGAGGACTCCTTCGCCTTGGTCACATTCGCTTTGAGTGACTCCAGTTCCTGCTTCTTCAAGTCCTCCATTTTTTCAACTTCCTTTTCTACTGACGTCACTTCTTGTACTGGAACAGTAACATGATCCTCCTTCTCTACTGTCTTCGTGTTGGTCTCATTCTCCTTGTACAGCTCCTGTACGCGTTCCTTTGCTCTGAAATCCTTGATTTTCAGTAATTTGTGCAACTCCTCCTGTGAGAACTTGTCTAATTTGCGTTCAATATGCGCATCAAATGATATTACGTCTTTCTTCTTGATAGTCATTTCTGCTATTGTCTTGAACGTGAACGTGCCTACTTTGACGTCCTTCAGATACAATTCATCCTGTGTGTATCCCACCAGCTCCCCCTCTACAACTCCTACGTATTTTGCTCGTAATACGACATTCGTCATCATTGGGGCAATTAAAAAATATTTTAAAGAATTTGTTTACCCGTTTTATGTCTTCAAATTGTAAATGAATTCTATCAGTCTCTCTTTGAATGCCTCCTTCTCTTCTGTTTCTCTATATTTCTTCTCAATCTGCTTGAATAATGCTGTTTCCTCCATTACAAACTGTCCAATATCCAGCATCTGATTTACAATAAACAATTTGAATTCAGAATTCATCATTGATTCAATACCAGTTGCAAAGTCAGGATGATCAGGTAAATCACTAGAATTGATTTCTTTGGCGTATTTGATGTAGAATAACATGGATTCGAAGTACTTATATGACAAATATGAGTCATCGTAACATATGAATTGAGGTAGAACTGGTCTGATGTTGTTGGCAACCACGTAACAAGGGAGTGCTTGTATCTGATTAGCGTAACTTAAATTCGTATTGGAAATAACCTGTATCATTCTTTGAAGTGCATCATTTGTCAGCTTCAAGTTTGTCTCATTTCCGTAGATATCAGCCAGACAGACTCTTCTTAATACAGCCAGAATCAGGCCATCGTAAAAGTCGCCTTGTCCCATACAATTTGTTACCAGGTCAAATAGAACAATGTGATTGATGTATTTTGTTTCTCTATTCATCAAATAGTAGCAGATACACATGAATTTCAGTTTGTTTTCATCAGTATCCAGCATTCGTATGGATTTGCTGACCTTTTGCAACTTTAATTCAAGTGCCTGATTTGGTATTCTGTTTGGTGAGGCGGAAAACACAATGAGCTTAGACCAGTCATCTACAGTCTCATAGACAATATTGCTATGTTTAAGAGCGTTGATCAGTTGTGCGTGCAATAAGTGAAATACTAATGGCTGGTCATATGCCTTTTTTAGGAGCAGAATGATTTTCTTTACTTTTGGTGTCATACTGGGCATAAAATATCAAGTTATTCAAATATCTCCAATATCCTGCTGTATATCTCTTTAAACTGTTCCTGTGCATCTTTTTGGAGTATTTCGAGCAAGTCTCGCATTCTTGTTTGAATCATCTTAACCTGGTCTTCAGGCCATGTTTTCCTAACATTAATCATACTCAGTGATTTGAATAAATACTTGTAGCACTCTATACTCTCATTATTGGTGATCATGTACTCCACAATGCTGTAATAAAACTCACAATAGAGCATATCAGCATCCTTTTCTACATTATTTGCAAACCAGAACAAAACCTGTTCTATGAATGCCGTACTATTGAGCAGTGCGTCTGTGTCTAAGAATGTGCATGCAAATGACTTCAACTTCTCCGTATTATTCCTGAAATACTCAAATGCAAAGCAGTTCAGAAATGTTTCAATTTCATCATTTTTGATTGTATAAATCGCATTCACCAGAATTCCAAGGTATTGATCCAACAATTCATCTTTTTCTATCTTCCCACATAGAATTAGCTTAGATGTGTACACCATCATCATTCCATCCCTCTCATTCATTTTATCAGTCACTATACTCTCAATTTCCTGAAAATCAATAATGCCCTTCAATACCAAATCAATCAATCCATCATATTCTCCATTATGCAATGACATCTCTTTATATGCTTCTACAACTTCCCTATTCACTATATTTCCATAGAATAAATAATTGAACAGAATTCCTTTTGATTTTTCCACGTCTTTTCTAGCAATTTCCTTAAGAATCGCCTTTGTAAAGCATTTTGATAGATTTCTTCCTTTTTTGAGTATTTTCTCACTGACTGTAATCAGGAACTCTGTTTCTCTTGTTCTCTGGATCAGTGCACCAAATATCAGTTCCTTTTCGTTGTAACAGACTCTGTCAATCAGTACAACACACTCTTCAATCAACAAATCACTCCCTATCTTATCCAAGTTATTGAAGAATTTCTTGACAATCGAAATTATCAGGTTCCTTAGACTGTCTTCAAAGATGTCGTAGAATTCTAGAAACTTAAACAGCTTCTGAACCACAATCAATTCGTTCTCTATTCCATCTGTTGACTCATTTAGCAGCACCTTTGCTTTCTCATAAAACACATTCAGAAATTCGTACAAATCCATGAGATTCAATGCATCTCTTCCTTCTGTTTCCTCTATGAATTTGTAGAATATGTACAGGAAACTCACATATTTCTTGTCAAACTTATCCAAGACGAATTCTCTTTCATCCATTCGCATCAGATACATCTTCACCACCTCCTCAAACTCCTTCTCTTCGCAATAAAAATAATCAATGAACTCAAACATCGTCATTTCAGTCATAAATGCCAGAAAATGCTTCTGTGCATCGAATTCTTTCTCAACGAATGCTCGTTTCAACAGAAATATCCTCTTTCTTAGTTCCATCTCCTTCAGGTTGAATTTGTGATAGTGTTTCGTCCAGAAGTGCTCCCTGATTTTTCTATCTGTGTCAATTGCTCTTTCCAGTATCGCATTCTGTGTGAGCTCATTCAACTCAATATTCTCGAATACCAATCTACGCAAATCCTTACTGGTATCGTATCTCATCACATCCTTAAGCAGATCTGGTACATCCGTATTCTCTTGAATCTGCCTAGCCTGATATTTCAAACAAATCTTGATTGCCTCTCTTCGAACACTCTTCTCCTTATCAAAGAGTCTCTCGCATATCTTATCCATCAATTCGATATCTAACAACTCATCAGGATTATTCTCTACAATGATATTGATAATTTTCAAGGAGTGTCTTCTGGCATTAACACTCTTTGATGAAATGAACTGGTATAAATAGTTGATGTCAGAAAAGAGTGATTCAGCACCTTCTTCGTAGTAGATTCGCTGAAATAACTTCGTAATAAAGAGTGTTACCTTGGGCGGGAAAGTTGCTTTTTTATAGGCAAGTAGCTTGTTGAATATCTTCCATAGCACTGTATCATCTTTATAATGTTCAAATACGAAGGTTAAGCTGCTTTTAAACTCTGCCACAGTACAGTTCTGTATTTTGTTGAATAATTCTACAAATTCAGATAGGTTTGTCATTCAGGGTAAAAGAACCCCAAAATGAGAAAGATCCGAGTTAGAATGTACACGATAAGACAAGGATTAAAGAGAGTGGAGCATAGGGAAAGATGCAATGAGAATGTGAAGAATTGTAAGGAGAAAGAGGATGAGTTACCATATGATAAGATATTTGACAGGAATGATGGAGATGTTATGCATGTAAATGAGCATGAAAACACTATCAAAAATGAACCAATTTCATTCGCATTTGAGGAAGAAACAAAACAAGAAGAAAGAAATTTGCCTGAAGAAAACACAGGGGTTGATGAGACCATTAAAAGTGTTGATTTGGAAAAAGAAGATGATGCTGTACTAGAACACAAAGAATTGATTGTTAATGAATCAGTGATAAAGCAGCCTGAGACAATTCAGGTACCAAATGAGAGTGTTGTAGAGGAAGAGAGCATCAAGAGATTGAAAGTGTATGAAGTTGATCAAATCGTAGATTCATTTGTGCTTGACAAAGTGGATGATGAGAATGACGTGGTAGATGAAGAGTTGAAACTCAAAAATGAGATCAATAAAAATCAGGCACTGACTAATAAGTTGGAACACATAAAAGATGTTATTACTGAAGCAAAGCACAATTTAGGAGATCTAAGCCTGGTCAAACTCAATAGCAGTATAAATCTACTCTATGAGAAATACTTGGCTGAAATTGATAAACAAGAGAAGAAGCAAGCAGACTTCACCAAGCAACACGAACTGATACAAAAAGTCCATACAGAAGAACTAGAAAGAATAAACAACGAGAATACTACAAAAATCAATGAGATTGAAAGGAATCACCAGATCAATAATGAAGCAATCTGCGATGAATTCAAAAGGAAGGAAGAGATAAGTAGAAAAGAGGCTGAATCACTACAAACTGAAGTCAAAAAGACGTATGAAGAGTTGTTACTGACCAAAGAAGCGATGAAGACAAAAGACAGAGAAATCAGTGAAATACAAAATGACCTGGATGAAAAGAAGGGTGATATTGAAGATCTCAAGCTGGAAATACACGATTTAACAAAGCAAAATGCCATTAACTGTGACAACCTTGATTTCATCAAAAGTGAAAATGACAGTCTCAAGAAGAAAGCTCAACACGCAATGAACCTGAAGAAGGAAGCAAAGAGCAGTTTGAGAGCACTGCGTGAGAAGGTCGAGGATGTTGACATAGGGGAATTCAAGATGGCACTGTTGAGAATCCAAGAGGACGATTCAAGGCAGATAAAACAACTAAGACAAGAAAACGGTGATTTACAAATCAAGGTCAAACAAATGACTAGTGAATGGTCCAAGGCATCTGAATCATTTGGTATCAAAATCAAACAGCTTGATGAACAAAACAAGGAGAACAATCTAAGCCTGGAAAAGAGAACGAATGAGTTGGAGCAAGAAGTGGTGAAACTACAGGAGGAAAACACGTCTCTAAGAATAGCCAATAACAACCTGAACAACGCAAAGAACGAGTTGAAAGAGGAATTCAACATCAAAATGGAGTATGTGACTGAGTTGGATTCAGCAATGGTTGAGTTACAAAAGAGTAACAAATATTATCAGGAGCAGCTGATCAAATCAGACAAACTGATACAGGAACTGAAGAGCAACAAAATCAGCATTGACTTCTCAACTGAACTGGAAAAGATCAAAAGAAAACACAGCAAGGAAATTGCATTGCTCAAGTTGCAGATTGAAGAGAATGAGAACAATTGAATGAATTTGGTACACCAATTTATTTCTTGCCTTTCTTTTTTGACTTCTTCTTCGCTATTAGTCCCATGGTGTTCTTCACACTGCTACTTGATGCATTCTGCTTCTCTCTATGCTCCTTCATCTTCTCAGCCACACCAGCAACCAACTCCATTCTGCCTGTGCTTCTTTTTATTGTAAATCGCCCTGGATTCAGTACATCTCGTGGATGCTTCTTATTTGGCTCAAATGTGTATTCTGCCTTGCATGCTTCTAATGCCCTCCTGATCTCCTGCGTCTTAATGCTCTCTAAACAATGCCTCTTGTTGTACTTCCTGCCTTCTGTCTTTGATTTATTTAGCTCGAAATAGACTGGATAAAGCATGAAATAGTTCTCTTTGAGCATTTCTATTCCCATTTTATTATTAGGGTAAATAAATAGAATACCTGTTGGATACGATGGAATTTAGTTGAAAATGTCAGTGTCAATTGGAACATACTTAGCACTGGTGTTTGGGATCTTCTTGAAGATTGGGAACTTCACTCCTTCTGCTGAATAAGTCAGACACTTTGCCTTGGTTGCTTCTTCCGCCTTAAACTCCTCAACTGTTGAGATGTAAATATCCTCATGTCTCACCTTGTGCCTTGATCCAAACTCCTGAAACATCGTGGAGACAGCACATGCCTTATTGACGTGCCTAATCTCCTTGTATGCATTCTGGAATCCAGTTCGTGTCCTATAGACAAATGTAATGCGATAGTTCTTGACTACGAAGTCACTTGCTTGCTTCACCTCTATGCATCTCAATACCACTGCATCTCTTCTCTTGATTTTGTACTGTTTGTTCAGCTGCTTGAAGTAGAGTGACTTGGCCACCACTGGGTTACTGGCAAAGAGAGTCGACTCAAAGACAGTTGGAACTGGCTCCTCCTTCGATTGGATCTTTGAGCCACTGATTCTGTATTCCTTGACATTGATATTGAAGTAGTCGATCTTACTGAATTTCATAGGGTAAAATTTGTGAAAATTTACTTGTTGAGTGTGAAGGAGTTCTTGACGCTCTTAGCTGCCTTGTTGAGCATCGAGGCAAGTCCCTTGTTGACTTTGATTCCACCAATGCTCTCAAATGTGCGTTTAGGAAGTTTTTTGTGTAACACATCCAGGTTATCCTCAAGAATGATTCCGTTGAAGACGAATTCGTTGAACAGGAAGATTATCATGTCGTATTTGGTTTCAACTCGCTCAACAGTCCAACCATTCTTCATTATTTTGTCTAATTCAGCAACCAGCGTGTTGAATGAATCCTTAACAAATATTTCATTGCTTTCCTTGTTTGCTAGCAGAATAACATGAATGTTCAATGGGCCATTTGTTTGTTTAGTTTCACAGAAGAGCACCTGATCATTCACAAGGGCCACACTGTCGTACACGTGTTTGAATAACTCATTTCTATCAACATTTCCGAAGTTTAGGTCGTAGAATACACGTTTTGATGAGTCAAGAATTCCAAGATACGAAACATCCTTGAGATCCATGGGTTGAATTTACGAAATATTTTATTTGGAATCAGGCAAGTCATCTACTTCAATTCGCTTGTTGTTTGTTACTTTGTACAGTCTAAATATATTCTTCTCGTCTATGATTCCATTGTAAAGCATGCTGTTGTACTCGCCAGTGAAATTCTTAAAATGCCCCTGTGTATTCTTAAGCTTATTGAATGTCTCATGCGATTTAACCTTATTGTCATAGAATACCACAAACTCAACAATCTTCCTTATAAGAGATTGTTTGAGATCACAGAATGTCTGATAGAGAACACTATCAGCAGCTGTGCTATTCGTATTCACAGAAACAAGTTGCCAGTACGAATTCCCTATGTCTCCTGCCATTTTTATTACGAATTCGATATTCTTCGACTTCAGAAACAATCTTCCGCCCAATACCTCTGCTTTGATGTGTTCTCTGTTTATATTCTCATTCAACAGCTCTATCTTCATGTATCTCTCTATTTCAGCCGTAGTTGAACTTATTTCTTCATTTTGTTCATTCAGATTTATGCTATTTTTTAAGGTGACTTGTAGTGCTTTGGTGATGTCTGATTCTGGCATGAATCCCGTCTTCATATTCTGGTAAATTACACTAAGATAGTCAGCCATTCCAATAATGTTCTTGTGATAGTTGAAATATTCTAGCTTTATTTTTGTAAATAACTTGATTTCCCTGTAATAGACCAGAGACTTGCATATCAAATAGAATCTACTCAGGTCATTGATCTTCTTATCACACAATTCAATGAACTTGGCTCTATTTGTATACTCCTGTACTGCGTGATACTCCCCAAACACACCCATTTCATTGAAGAATGCATTGAAATATCTCACAATAAAGTCATTTACTGACTCCATATTCTGTAGGTAGTTTGGATCCTGAACTCTCAGGCGTATTTTAAATCTGAATTTCCCCTGTGCAATTTGTTCAAAAATTTTCAGCATTTCCAGGGCACTTTCTACAAATCAGTTGAAACTGCCATTTAATACCCGTCCTTCTTGAATGAGCTAATTGACTTCCATGGATTGTATTTGTATAGTTTCTGGTGTTGGTTCAGCTTGTAGATCGTAGCCATAACCATCATGATGAAATATATTACCAGAAGTGGTACAAACACCGGTATATCCAGGAAGTTGAAGAAGGTGAGAATGAAGGAGACTGAGACAACCTTCATGTAGAAGAGCCAGAAGTCGTACTCAGGCAGGTTTCGAACAAATGGCCCGTCAAATGATCGCTGCTCTTCCTGGATTTGCTCCTCCGTCAGTGTCTCAAATGGATCTGTTGCATTCTTCATCTTTGGTGTTGCGAAGAATATGAATCCTTGTACCAAATATATCCCAACCGCATACGTAATTATATAGTGTGAGTTCTTAACCAATACACGTAGAATATAGAGACCAAGTACCACTCCAAACACAGTCCACCTACCTCGTACCTCATGTGCGTACTTATCCTTAATTATTTGGTTCAAGTTTGCCAGTGACATGGGGGTTACAAATGCATAAATTTACATGAAACAAATTCCATGCAAAACAAGCTTAAATTCCTGTAGAATGTGACTCATTTGCATAAAATTGGAGTAAAATGGATCCAGCATTTCATTGCTCGTTTTACAAGGGTGAAATATCCAATGACAGCCAATCACGTGTTGATTGAATTTGATGTCACATTCTTGCTTATCACTGTATGAATTACATTGTACTGACCAAATATGCTGTTCACTCACTTCTTTCTCCAGAAATCACCAACTATTTTGTTGTATTTAAAAAGTGATATTTTTGAGCCCTAATGCCCAATATTTTCAAAAATAGGTTCAGTACTCTTGATCTAGTGAAGTACGCCATAATATGTTCAATTGGAACTGGTATGATATACGGTCCCGTACAATACAGTTGTATTTCTGGTAAGAATTCATACACCGTAAACATCGCCCTATTCATTGCATCAATATTTGAACAGTTAATTGCACAGTGTTACGCTGAGTTGAAGTGTATTCTGCCACAAGAAGGCGGTGACTTCCTGTACATTGAGCAGTTCTTCTCTGGTTCTGCTGGAACAGCCTATGCCCTTGTGATGCTAATAGTTTATACGACTGGTGCCAATTCATTCACAATCAATCTGCTACTCGATGTCTTCAAAATATCCAACAATCGGGCCATTTGGAGTCTGCTGCTTTCGCTAATCATCATTCCAATCACACTCATCCCAGTCTACGCCAGAAAGAGGGTGATGCGGCTCATTTCAATTCTCCAATTTGCTGCTGTATTTCTGATTCTACTATCCCTGCCACTTGCAGTTGGATTCAAGAAAGAAAACAGGCTGATTTCAACCACAAAACACGTTGTTAGGGCGCCAGTGACTCTGAAGACGCTTCTGCTGGTATTTGCCAAAATGCATTACACTTTCTGTGGAATATTCTCATGCAACAGCCTTCATAAAGATGTGACTGGTAATTTGTATTTGCCATATCTCATTTCAGCCTCCACAATTTACGTTCTTTACGTCGTGGTAACGAATTCACTCTTCCACATCTACAGAAATGAAACAGGCGAAATCGACTACGAAAACGTGCTTGGATTCCTACCAGGCAAATCCAATACAGTTGCATGCATGGGAATATGCTTTGCGCTCTATTTCGGTGGGTTCTTTGCTAACGGATTCACGGCCACTGACAACTTGAACTATTTGATCAAAAAGTACAAAATGAGAAAGAACACGAATTACGCAGCAGCAGTGGCATCTGCTGGCATCGCATTCTCATTCTCATTCATCGAACTGAACAGAGTGATGGCAGTGCTATCGATGCTGCTGATTCTCTCCACTACGCTCTCAATCACGGGGATAATCATTCACAGTAGGAGGAATCCAACTTACAGAATCAAAGTGCCCAAGTTTCTGATCTATTCTGCAATAGCAGGGTGTATAGTGACACTGGTTGCTAATGGTTTCGCATTGGTTAGTTAAATAGACAAATAGTGTTCAGGTTCACCCTCCCTTACATTTTGATCACTGGATATTTCTCAAAAGTGATGTCATTCGTATCAACAGTGATCAGACACTGCCCCATCACCAAAATGATGTGGTGACTTCTAAACCCATTTTGGTGATATATCAAATGTTGACGTTATACGTCAAATTTTGATCAAAAATATCAGTTGGTTTGGAAGCAGACTGGAGCAGTAGTTGCCTTGTTCTACTCCATCAGTCCCATTACGCTGTCAAATGTGACGTGATTGATGTTGCCCAAAAGTGATGTTTAAATTTGTTGAATCACTGCCCCTAATGGGAGTTGACTTAAAGCATAAATACAGCACGTTTGACTTGTTCAAGTACGTTGTGATTTGTACAGTGGGATCTGGCGTACTCTTTGGGCCAAAGTCATTTTACAACATGGCTGGAAAGAACCCCTTAACGGTGAACTTGGCTCTCCTTGTGGCAACAGTTGTGGTTGAACTCATGGCCCAGTGCTTTGCTGAGCTAAAGCGGATGATTCCACAGGAAGGAGGAGACTTCCTCTACATCGAGGAGTTCTTCTCAAGTGCAGCTGGAACAGCCTACACCGTCGCAATACTCGGAATCAGTGTCCCAGGAGTGAACTCGTTCTTCGCGAATCTCCTGCTGGATGTCTACGGAATCAAGAAGAATAGGGCTCTTTTCAGCCTGCTTCTATGCATCGTTATTGCACCAATTGCACTCATCCCAGTCAGTGGACGAAAGAAAGTGAGCAAAGTGATCTCGTTGCTGCAGCAGGTGACCATGGTGCTCATCTTTGCGTCATTGCCCCTTTCCATTTTCCTAGCAAGCAAAAACAGCCTGATTTCCACCACGAAAACAGTGGAGAGGACTCCAATTGGGGCCAACACGTTTTTCCTGACATTCTCAAACATCTATTTCATATTCTGTGGATTCTATGAGTGCAATGGTCTCCACAAGGATGTGACTGGTAACCTCTACTACCCGTACATGGTTTCAACCACCTCACTTTACGCCATCTACGCCGTGATACTGAATCTTTTCTTCTACATCTACAGAAATGAGACGGATGAGATCGACTACGAGAAAGTGCTTGGGTTTCTGCCTGGTAAGAGCAACAGGGCTGTCTACGTGATACTCTGTTCAGTGCTGTTTGTGGCCCCATTCTTTGGAAATGGATTCATGCAAACAAATAACGCCAATTATTTGATCAATAAGTACAAATTGAAGGGCACTACAATCTACGGCATCATTGGTGTTGTTAGCGCAATATCATTTGGATTCACGTTCATTGGGTTGGGGATGATCATGGCCATATTGTCAGTGTTGCTGATTCTTTCTAGCACATTTTCAATAATGGGAATATTCGTGTTTTGTAGACGGAATCCAAGTTACAAAAGGCGGATTCCAACTGCAGCCATCTACACGGCACTGATTGGATCGATTACGATGATGGGAACCAACGTATTCTACATTGGGAAGAATCTGATTGATAAGATCAATAAATAAGTTATCGATCTGTTTACTCCTTAAAGCAGACACACAGCCACGAATACGCCTGCTACAAATGCATTTTCGATAACACTTTCAGTTCCATTCTTCTTCCCTTGCTTCTTTGAAGATGAGCTGCTTGAAGTTGATTTAGAGGAGGAAGACGACGTGTTTGAGGACGTCGTGCTGCCATTTGTGGATGATGCAGCTGAATCAGGCACCTGCTGGGAATCTGATTTGTCTTGTGATGGGGAAGAAGGCTGATTGTTAGTTGTGACAGCTGGTAGAATTGGCGCAGGTGAAGGTGATGATGTTGGAGGTGTTGATGGTGTTTGTGATGGAATTGGTTGATTTTGTGGTGCACAAGGCGATGTCTGTGTTGCTCCTGGCTGTTTTTGTTGTACTGGCTGTCGTAGTTGTACTGGCTGTGCTGGCTGTCGTGGTTGTCCTTGCTGTACTGGACAAGGAATTCGTTTTCTGGCTACTTCTGCTAATTCCTTCATAAAATGCTGATTTTCTGGTTTTCGAGGTGGGCAGTAGCCTTGTTCCTGTGGATAAAACTGTTTCGTTGAATAGAGGCAGGGTGGCTCAGGTGAATAAACTACACTTTGATGTTGCTGTCTTGGTGGCACCAAACACTCTCTGGATCCGCCATAGTCGGTTTCAAGAGTGGGATACGTTACAACTGGTCTGCTTTGCGCACATTCCTGGTAGTTAGTGACCAGTCTTGGATTTTCAGTGCAATGGCTCTTGGCTTCCTCAAAGAGATTCGTCAGGCTTTCGTGTCCAACACTTTCAGTTTCATTCAACTGGACTGTGTTTGAAGCTGGGGAGACTGCATTTGAAAGCAGGTTGTTTGAGATATCTCTGGTGGCATCTGTTAGAAATACACTGTCTTCTGCTCGTACGGCATTCGAATTGACTAGTTCGAACTCGTCTACAGTCTCAGCACCAAATGCTATTGCAATTTGTAACACAATACTGTACATAAAGCATTGATGTGAAATTGTTTTTATGGCTCATACGAACAAATTACTCAAATGGATTTGTCCAGGTATTTCTTGAAGATGTGCAGCTGATATACGCCGGCATACTGGCCAAACATCTCAATCCATTGCTTCTGTACTGTCTTGTATCTTCTAGGAGTCAGTTTATCATCAGGTAAATTAAATAGCTTTTTGGAATGTCTATGGATATGGACATCGAGTGGCACTACGTCAAAGTACTCAAGTGATATGAGACAGACGCAATCAGCCACTTTTCTACCTATTCCTGTTATTTTGGTCAGCTCTGTAACAGCTCGTTCGTAGTTCTGTTGCATGAATTCTTTTGTGAAAATGTCTCTGTTTTTGGTGATGTGTTTGGCTGCTGCCGTAATGTATCGCGATCTGTATCCGAATCCATTTGCCTGTAACTCTTCTTCTATGTTGGTTAATTTTGATACATCTGGGAATTTGTATATTTTGAGTCCTTGATATTCTGTATAAGTCCCCTTGCTATGCAAATATTGTACCATTTTTGTGATTCGCCTTACATTGTTATTCTGGGAGCAAATGAACGTGAAAACTGTTGCAATGAAGTCATTTGTGAGGAATTTTAGGCCATTAATATGGTGTTCTCCTACATCCACATGATGATCTAAGTTGAAGAAGATACGTGCTGCCCTTTCTACATTTTCATTGATTTTTTTGCAATAAATCCTGTTATCAATCTGTTTTAGTATCAGGAGAACTTCTCCTACAAACCCACAATGCTCGTTGTCTGTTGTTTTTATGAAGTTGAATACTTGTCCACTTTGCAGTGTCACGTCCAAATCTATTTCATCACTTATTTCAATCCAGTTGCATTTTTCCTGATACATTTTGGAATTCTACGGTATTTTAAGAAATAATTTTATAAAAAATATCCCATGGGCTCTGATTACATTGATGAAGAGACGTGCTGCGAGTATATCTGTGGCTGCTGTCTACGAGAGGAGTTTGTAGCAAATGATATCACAGGAAGATGCGAGAAGACACACAATACCACTCTCAGAGAGCGATATTGTGAGAACAAAATGAACAAGGATTTCAGGGAGTGCGTTTTGAAGGCATCGCTTTCGTACGAGGAGGTCGTCTACGAAACAAATAAGAAAATAGAAGACCACGTACGCCTGGTGAAGCCAAAGATCAACAAAAGTGTTCTGGATGCATTGGAGCATGTCAAGAACCTCATTGACAACCAAAACGTAGATAACTTTGCAGATTCACACTCGCTGCTCAAAGTGCATGGCCAACTCATCCAAATGGCCCAGAATACGATGCCATCTCAGGCATTCACAGTCTGTGAGAACTGCAGTGCTTTCAAGAAGACAGAAGATTGTACGCATAAATTCTGTAAAGTCTACAGGAAAATCAGAAGCCTGGCCAAGGAGTGCAAGAAGACCCTCAACACAGCCAAATTGTAGTAGAAGAACCATTTGGTAAATAGTTTATACACAGGTTGTCTCTTTTATCTTGCAAATGGCTGTTTCTATTATGTCCTGGTTGAATCTTGAGAGCGTGGGTATGAGTAATCTTGCTTCGTGAGCAGTTAGCGGGAGGATAGTTAGAAAGAGCGCCTTCTCCTCGTCATTCATACCAAGACCCGTCAGAAAGCCATTCAGCATCTCTATTGTGTTTTTATCGCTTATCTTGCTGAATTTCTCTGTATATTCGTATGTGTTGTGAAATATCTCATGCGACTTCGTTCTCGCATTCGAATATCGTTCTTTAACGCCTTTCATCAAAATATTCGCTTCGCTGACAGATACAGGCCTGCTGGTGTCACGCTTCTCTTTCATTCGACGGTGATAAAATTTTACAAAATTTTGACTGCAGAAAGACGCACTGGTGGCCTGAAGATGTTTGTGGAAATTAGACCAAAGGACATTGCAAGATGCACTGGAAGGGTTCAGGTAGATTATTTTGGTAGGTAGATTATTAAGGGTCAAATATCCAGTGGCAATAACAAAAGTAATTGAAGAATTTCAGTTGAAATGTTGGTTAATTTGGCTCATTATCAGGCCCATATTCAAATTACCCTATGCCACATTTTTTAGAGTATGAACGAACCATTTTAGAGGAAATTAATGAAAAATCAACAGTAGTAGTCTGTGCACGTGGCATTTCAACAGATAACGTAGTTGGCGAGTTGCTGAATATGTACGCAGATGACTTCTCGCTCTGTCTGGTTCTTAATTGTGATAGAACTGAAATAAACCACTTTAAAAACACAGTATTGTCAAAAAAGAAGTTTTATGACATCACAAGGACGCAGATACATCGTAGAAAGAAGGAATATAAAGGTGGAGGTGTGTTCTTTGGGACAGCACGCTGCTTCTTGACTGATTTTGTCAACAAAAACATTCAGGTAGACAAAATTAGTACAATTTTCATTATGAATGCTCATAAAGTACGGGAACATTCATCCATTGCGTTTATACTACACATATTCAGAGAATATAACGCATTGCATCTTGTAAAAGCATTTGTAACATCTCCCTTGCAACTAACGCAGTCCATTTCTGATTTGTGTTACACGCTGCAATGCCAAACTGTCAAGTTCTTGCCCAGGTTCAAAGAGTGTTTTAATGAATTCAAAGAGTTCAATTTTGAACACATTGGACTAAATCAGAGTACACAACTACATAGGATTGCTGATTTAATCACAGACATGATTGATATACTCCTTCAGATTGAATTCAAATCATTACCACGAGACCTGATACCAAATTATAAGGATGCTGTCATCTGTTTGAAATATAGAGACAACAGCGACATCAGAAACTTCATTTGCTTGCTCAATTTATTGTATAACGTAGATCCACTGACATTGTACATTTTCTATGGCAAGATGCTTTATGCACAAAATGATTTGGGCGAAAAAGGAAGCTGGGGATTCTCAGAAGTAGCCCACGAAATATTCGAAGAAATCACAAATTATGCAGAAAATGAATTCATTGACTTGAAGGACGTTAAATTCAACACGGAAGTGGATGAGGGTACATACACCTGTTCTAGCACTAATGAAGGCGAATCAGATAGAGAACATATTCAGATTGAAGATTATTTAAGTGTTGTGGAGACACAATTCGACAAGAACAATAAATTGGAGACACTCAGAAGATTGGTACAAGAAAATAGAGAAAAAAGGATACTGATTCTGGTACAGAATAAGATAGTTGAAAAGGTAGTGAGAACTGTAGTACGAGATGCTGTAATTGAGACACATGGAATGCTGAAATATCTTGAATTCAACTACGACGTGGTCGTAATGCTCAATTTGAATCTATGCTCATTCAGGTTACTTGAATACAAATTCACAACTGGAAATGAATTTGAGTTATTTGTGCTGTGCTACAACAATTCAGTGGAAGAGGAATTCTACTTTGAGGAGACTGAACGAGAAAGAGAGCAGTTTGAGAAGATGATGGCTGAACGAATCACAGTGCCAATAAAACAGGAAATTGAATATTTTGATATGGAGGATAATAATGAGAATGGGTTTGTGATAGTTGTTGATGTAAGAGAAACACGTTCTAAATTGCCATTCTATTTGCACAAAACACGAAATAAGATCGAGATTAAAACACTTCCCATTGGAGACTATGAAATGAATGTTGGGGATGATCAGATCATAATTGAACGAAAGAGCGTAACCGATTTCAAAAATAGCATCAATTCAAATAGATTGTACCATCAGGGACATCGAATGTGCAATGCGTACAAATATCCATTCTTATTACTTGAATTTGATTCAGGTATGCCAACATTCTATGGTTATGAAAATGATAACGTGTATGGTAGAACAATGTAGTCCAAGACGTCGCTAGTAGCCAAATTGTGCAAGTTTCTGGTGACATTCCCCAAAATAGGTGTAATCTGGTCAAATGACAACTTATTTACTGTTAAGGTATTTAGAGAAATGCAAGCTGGCAAATTTAGTAGAAAAGCTGATGATCCAGAGAATAATACTATAACTAATACTCTGATCAACAAGATGATTCTCTCTATTCCTGGTGTAAATAGTCAGATATTGAGCAAATTACAAAAATCATTTAAGAATATCCAGGCAATCGCAAATGCATCTGTAGAAGAGCTAGCAGTGGTCTTAGATCAGAATACAGCCACACTAATCCATACATTCTTCAATAAAAGTCTATAAGGATGATTGTAGTTACATAGAGTGTCTTATGCTTAAATATTTTTGTTTTATGAAACCCTAAGAATGGGAAATGAGAATGTAAAGATGAGTCTTGGAGAAGAAGGCATGGCTGTACAAAACAGTGAGACCAACAACAAGGAGAACATCAATTCAGAAGGTTTCACGAAGAGAATCAAGCCAACTTACTCAGGAAACCCTTCAAAAAGCGAGGGAAATGAAATGGATGAAAAAACGAAGGCATTGCTTCAGGAACTAGGATACACAAGAGTCAGGAGAGCAGCATCCATCAAGGGAATTGCGAAGATGCAGGAGAAGAATGAAACTATCAAAATGGAGATGGAAGAGGATCTCTGTGAGATACCGAAGCCAGAATCAGATGAGTTCTGTAAGTTGACAATTCGTAGAAAAATAGACAAAAAGGCTCAGGAGAAAGTTGAGTTTGAGAAGCTGTTCAGTCGAATCAACATGGAAACCATCAAACCAGTGGAAACAGACGAGGATGCAGGAGAAATGCAGAACTTATTCAGGGACTTTGTAGAGAGTCTCTCAGACGAATCAGATGGGACAGAATTAACGTCCCATAACGAGATAACGCACCAGAATACGATACAAAATGAAAAATACAGAAATATCATCATGAAGTTCAAGACAGTTCTGGAATTGGAGGGAAACAGCACTTTGGTTCTGCCAGAATCAAAAAGAGAAAGAAAAGCGACCTTTGTTGATCCGGTTGAAGTTGTGCCACACAATCAGGATGTAAACAGCATCAAGTCCATTTTGGGACCAGACAAAACGTACAAGGAAGCTAACTGTCCAAAAGAGGTCGTTTGGGTCGTAAGAAGACTCAACCTTAGGACGAATGAGTCAATTTGTGACTTTGAATTCCAGGAAATTGGCGTTGCTGAAGAATGATGTGCCACTAGTCACTTTATTCATCTTTTATTGCGCTTGCTTCGCCCTTAAACCCCGTGCTATCTATTTCCTCCTGTTTTGATTCCTCCCAGCCAACGTACGTAGACACCTGTGGTGTTGGTACGTCATAATTTGGCTGTGTTTCATTTCCAGTATCTTTTATTGCACAATCCTTCTTCTCTCCTGGTTTAGTCAGAAACGCCTCAATGTTCACAGTATCGTGCTCTTCTTCACCAACTACGTTGTCTTCTGTCCCCTTCTCCTCTGTGGTTCTTCTGACTCGTGGTATCTTCAACAGCGATACCACCAAAATGGCCAATCCAAATATGATATTCGCATAATAGACTGATGGAATATCAAATGTGCCCTTGATGTCTCTGTTGTGTGTCTCAGTGATCACCTTATGTGCTCTCAGGAACATGTCTAGCAGCAATGAGTGAATCTGGTAGAAGTTGACCACCCTACAAATGTAGATTCCAAGTCTCCTTTTCTTCCAGTACAGAAACACCTGCAAAATGACGTATACGCCCATAAATGAGAATGATGCGTACCACTTGAACATGCTGGAGTACTTAGACATCTGGTGGAATGCGTTGAGACTCAGCACGAGTGGATACAGGTCATTGAACTTGGGAATGGTCACATTTGCAGCCAGCATTCCCAGTGCAAAAATAGGAAGACCAATGTAACTGAAAAAGTGATTCAGGTCGTATTCGATGACGAAGATGGTGAGACCGACTGCGAAGATGTAGTTGGCCACTCCAAGTGGCTGGATGTCGCTGAAATACCTCCTTTTGTAGAAGAATAGGCAGTATGTGACAATCAGGCTACTGACCATAAATAGATCTATTTTGGTGTGATGCTTGAAGATGAGTGCAGGCGTAACACATTGGAGGACTTCTATGAGACTCAGGAGAGTTGTGGTTGTCACCTTCCTTACGATCTGCTTTCTGGTGTATCTTTTGACCTTTTTGATTGGTGCATTTTGCTCTGCATGTTCATCAAATTCATCATTCCTGGCTCCTTCGTTAGGCCTATAAGCATCATGTTCACTATTTTGCTCATTGATTCTATGATCAGCCATCTCATTCTCGTTTGGCATGTTGGTTGGTGCGACTACGTCCATAAAGGGTCTCAGAATGTATTTCATAAACTCCTTACTCCTTTTCAATCAATAATGGACATATTGATGAAATGATCAAAATTAGCCCAGAAATGGACAAAAAATTCTACGCTGTGATGTCTGGAAAAGGAGGTGTGGGGAAATCGACAGTGTCATCGTTGTTGGCGAGGAAACTCAGCAAAAGGGGTAAGACTCTTCTGGTTGATTTTGATCTCTGTGGCCCGAGTATCAGTAACTTATTCGAAATTACTGGTAAAATTATCAAGGGGAAAGATTGTTTCATTCCAATATCATACGACAAACACCTGGATATTTTATCATTTGGAAATGTGTTGAACGAGAATGACGTGGTGATTTGGAGAGGAGCAAAGAAGAACGTGTTTCTGGATCTGATGATTAATACAGCACTTATGGGAGAGTATGAAAATATTGTGATTGATACGCCACCAGGCATAACAGAAGAACACGAATTTGTTGTAAATAGAGTACCAGAATGTGAGATTATTCTGGTGACTACGTCGCAGAATGTGGCACTGAACAAGACCCAGAACACAATTGAGTATTGTACATCAAACAACATGAATATTATTGGACTTATTCAGAATATGTCATACTACGACTGTGAAAAGTGTAGGCATAGAATGCATTTGTATGGGAAGAATGGTGGTGAACTCCTAGCAGATGAATATGGAATCAGGTATTTGGGTGAAATTGATTTCAATGCGACTAGCAGTGCACTTGATGAAATGGATTTGTTCTGATTGAATTAGGCTGAATTTTCACCCTGAGATGACAAAGAAATCAGTGGAAATTGAAGTGAACTTCCTGGAGACCAAGGAGGTTGATATGGCACCAAAAGAGAAGAAGAGAGTGCGTGTGGAAGAATATGATTATGCCGATGATTTCCTAGAGCCATTTGAGGGAGACGATCAGCTAGTGGACTTGGAATGTAATGTAGACAACTTCTTCATTTTTAAGGGTGCAATGGATACGAATCCAAAGAAGATTGCACGCAAATACAACTATAAGATAAAGAAAACAGAGGTGAATGAGTTTGAATTCGAAAATGTGCTTGAAAAGAAGCCAAAGAGGGATCCAAAATTCCACAATTTGTGCTACTACCTGATTTACCAGGAATATGAAGAGACAAAGAATCCAAGTCGAAAGACGATTTTAAGGAACATCCTGGAAAACATAAACAGGGTGAGTTTGCCACAGAAGAAGAGCGTGGAGGAAGAGAACGAGAAAGTGGAGAATAAGAGTGAAGCAGAGATCAAAGTTTGTGCACTTAACAGTCTGTTGGATGATAATCACGACCTGGATGTTGATGAGGAATATGCAAAATACAAGGATGAATTACATGGAATGATATCCAAGAAACTATTTGAGATAAACGACATCACCAAAGACTTAACAAACTACACACAGAAACTCAAGACATTTGAATTCAAGAAGACCAATCTGATTGAGAAGATTATGGAACTGATAGTGGACTACACGTTGTACTACTATAAGGACACGAGTGAATTCGTGCAGAATAAGGCAGTTGGGATAATTGGGAAGATGTTTTATGAAGAATGTAGTAATTGGGTCAGTATAAAGCACTACGTAATACAGGAAATCAAGAAGAGAAATACGAGATTTGATTTCAATGAGCTATACAAAGGAAACTTCGTAGAAATAAAGGAATCGGAGTGAATTGTTGTAGAACAAGGTGTTTCTGATGGAATGGGGATGTTGAATCGAACCATAATTTATTTAAATAAAGTGAATCCCTTATTGTGCCTTGCCGGTTCCAGAATTCAATCCGCCCCCTGTCTTTGATGATTTGGATTTTCTGTTTTTTCTTGGATTTTCAGTAGGTTTATTGCTCTTCTCTGGTTCTTTAGCTTTCATTTTTCCGAATAATCTTTTTGATCTCCTCGGTAGTACAGCTGTTGATGATGGTTTAGTTTCCTCTGTGTTCGGATTGGGCATGATTTTACGTTTCGATGATTCAGGTTGTTCTGTTGGCTTTGTTGGTTCAGTTGAATCAGTTGATTCTATCAAGTCTGGTGACTCTGCCGATTCAGTTGAACTGTCAGGTGTTTTCTTTTTCTTTTCTCCATCATCATGTGATGAATCTTCTTTATCATCCTCATTTTGTGTGTCTTCTTTAGCATCTTTAGCTGTTTCTTTTTGTGGTAAACCCGGTTTATCTTCTTCTTCCTCTTTTCCCTTTTCTTCTGTTTCTGTTGATTTATCTGGCCGTGCCCAACCTGTGAATTTACTCCACAAACTGTCAACTGCGCCAAGAGCCCTTGAATACCAGGCACCTGATGAACCAGTAGGTTTATCTGATTCATTCTTGGATTTATCAGAGGATCCTTCTTTCGTATCGGTACCATCCTTGTCAGTAGTCATCACAACTGTCCTTCTTTCTGTTTCTGTAATCTGTGTACTCTGTTCGTGTGCTATTTTCGTATTCTTCTTAGATGGTGAATGATGGGATTCTTCTGTTTCTTTCTCATCTCCTGTTGTCTTCTCACGTTTGCCTCTGATTGATGGCCTTTTCAAACACAAGGATTCGTGTGATGATTTTTCACCTGAATCACCGATACCTGGATATTCACCATATTTAAGTCCTAAATGATTTCGACTGTGATCATCGCAACCATCTTGGTTAAATAATGTATTGGATACAGATGCTGATGAATACACAGATAACATCAAAACATTAAATGCGAGATCAAACATATTAAGGGCTCACAAAACAGAAATTGATCAAAAGAAGTGAAAAGAGGCAATGCACAAATCAACGAGCTATACTCGAGTAAATAAAATAAATGGAGTGAGTGTTTGCGAGATCACTAAAAACATTGCATATTAAAACGGTCAATATTTTTTAAAACAGAAAGAAGCGATCATAAACCTGCTTCATAACAATGAGATGTCTTCTTTAGTTTATTCTTGATCAGAATTACAGTTATATGAATGTAAAATGTAAATCAATAGAAGCCATTGAATGTTTACTGAACAAATCAGCAGCAGAAGAAGTTGTCTTTCCTTCTTTTGAGTAGCTCACTTTCCTGTGCTCTTCTGGCCTGTTCCTTTGGTAACTTCTCAGAAATTGCAAGAAACATTTCCTTAATATTCTTTCCTGTTTTTGCTGATGTCTGATGGAATGCGATGCCTTCTTCCTCTGCGTACTTGCGACCCATCTCCTCTGTAATAATCATCTCATTCTCTAAATCTGTTTTATTCGCAACAAGAACCTTGAGAAAGTTTTCAGGTTTCTCAACCTTCAAATCCCTGATCCATTTCTTGGCCTGTTCAAATGACTCATTGGATGTTACGTCATACACCACCAATGCAACGTGTGCACCCCTGTAGTACATTGGTATCAACGAGTAGTATCTCTCTTGGCCTGCAGTATCCCAAATCTCAAATTTGATTGCATTACCCTTATTAAAAACTGTTTTTGTCAGGAATGCTGCACCAATGGTTGACTCCTCGTTTGGGTTGAACTCATTCTTAACAAAATTCAGTACAATTGATGACTTTCCAACTGAATAGTGGCCCAATACGACCATTTTGAATGTAAATGTATTCAAATCCAATGCGGCCATGATCAAAATAATAGTTGAATAAAATAAATATGTTAAAACACGAATAAACAAAGGTGGAAACATCAACAGAGCGTATATTTGTAAACAGATACAAACAATCTACTCATAATATCATTCCATATTTTTCATATTTTCCTTCTACTACAAACAATGAATTGGATTTATTTGTTTGCCAGGGTATGGAAGAGTTGGACGAAACTCTGTATAAGAAAGTAGCAAAAATATCCACAGGTATCAAAATAGTTGGCACACCTGAGGATGAGATAGACCCACACAGAGATATGAACGAAGAGACCGACCTGATAGACGCCAATGTGTACGAAACATTCACCCTTGAAGAAATAAGGTGCCTGGTTCTAACTTACAGACAGAGAGAGAAGGACTTCCTGCTGGCTCGTGTCACCACTCCTGATCCAGAAAACGGGAATCTCTTCTACAACTTCTACTATGCTGCTCCAGAAATAAACAGGGTCCTATTCAGGTTCGAGTCAAACAGAAGACTGTTGCACAGAATGAAGGTGAAGAATCCACTGAACAACATGTTCATAGTAGGACAGGTCTGCTATTACAAGATTACGAAAGGAGAAGTAGATAGTGCAATTGTGGACTACTATTACAACACAAAAAGTCAGGCAGAAAGTTTGAAGCCAGCTTATTCTGAGAAAGGAGACCAAACAAGCGAGACAAGTGAGAAGGAATACACCATTGTCTCCTCAAAGAGCATCTACGAAAGCCAGCCAAGGCCACTGAAATCAATTGAGGAGCTAATGAATTCAAAAACAAAACTGCCTGAAATCAACAACAGAAAGAAGCTCATTTACGAAGCGGTATTCTTTGCAACTGACGACGACTTTCTGGTTAGCAGCGACATCAGGGACTATTTCAGGCAGAATGCGATGGACGAGAACGACGAGTTTCTCTACGAACTGGATAGAACCCAAAACGACTTTCTGGCACTGCTTGAGGAAGCAAGTGATTCGGAAGACGAAGGTGCCTCAGACTGGCGCAGAATATTCTCAGCCCACATTTCATTGGCACTGTCCATGCTCATCATCTGCCTTCTGATTGGCGGTGGCCCAATCATCGCAGTGGTGCTGCTTCCAATTGCGTTACTGATTCTTGGCTCATTCATGCTCTCATTGATGTACGTGCTCTGTTGCAGGAGATCAACATTTGATACGGTTGCAGTTGAATCACTTAGTGAGAACTCAGGGATGTAAGTAAAATAACCAAATCAAACTATTTAGTGAATTCATTTGCTAGGACGTAGTAGAGTGGGAGAATGAGAGCCAACGTGCCAGAGCTGATTCTGTTCAACTTCCTCTTGAAGATGAGACTGTTGCAATGGGGCAGAATGGCAGTAAGCAGCTGGAACGAGAGTGCCATTTTGAGCAAGGAGCTCAGGGTCGTCAGGGTGCCGCTGAAGAAGACGCTGCTTACGAGTCCACTGTAAAAGAGTGAGACGAGCGAATATGCGATGATGTTGGCGAAGTACGAGATGCCTTCGAATCCTCGTTGTCCAGCTGAAATAGCCATAAACACCCCTGGTAAACAGACCTGAATGGTATCAAAAAGGCTGAATGCGATTCGACTGAGAGCAGATGCCTCTGTGATGCTCTTATGAAGCTTGACTTGAGAGAGTAGCAACAATTCTACGGTAAATACAACCACTAAGTTGTAAATGTTGAGTAGACGGTAGTATTTGTTACGCATGACAAATGTGAAATTGATGAGACCAGCGCAAAGGCCAATTCCAATGAAACCAAGATACTTTGGGATATTCTTGACCTGAAATATCGTGTTGACAGTGAACATCAGGATGACTGGAGACACAATGGCCCTGATTCCAAGTGGCAGAATGTGCATTTTGCTCTTCGTGTGCTGGAACACCAGCAAATTGTCAAAGACTACTTCAAATGCATAAAATAATGCATTCAGATACCTTTTAAGCTTAAATAACTCAATTATGCTTGTGTTGATGGCTTCCCTACGAATTGCTGGCTCCAAAGGGATGTCATTTGGCTGGGTTGTGGGGACGAGACTCCTTCCATTGTATCCCAGGTTGCTGTTGAGTCCAAATGTGCTGGTCATGCTTATTCTGCCCTTAGTCATGGCACGCTCTATTACGATTTTGATGAAATAGGTGCAAGCAGTGAGGTTACAGATCATGTTCAGGTATCCATTTGCTTCTGAGAGGTAGCTTCTGTTCAGAAGCTCCTTGATTGCAAGTGACATGTTCAATAGAACAAATTCGCCTAGTTTTGGTGCATTCACGCTTGATTTCAGGTGGAGAAGCAGAGCAAACATACAGAGAATGTGGGTGCTGAATACGATTACATTGGTCTTGTTTACGACATCCTCGTGGTTCAGGAGCATGTAGCAGATCACAGGGAGTGCCGTAAACATTCCGTACACAAATGAGATTCCAAACTTGTTGGATGACGTGTAGAATGTTATCATTCTGTTACTTAAGTCAAAATAGTAGTACTGTAGGAAGTAGATGCGCACCAGTGTGAAATAGGCGGTTGAGGCTGCGGCAATGTAGCCATTTGACATGAGCGATATCGATATCATGGGCACAAATATTTGGCCAAACAAACAGGAGAGAAACAAAACTCATTGGTTTATTCTACCACATTGCAATGGCACGTTCGACGCTCTTCTTCTCAGCAGCTGACTTCTTGCACGTTCCCTTTGGCAGCAAATCAGGCGTAGTAATCAGGCTCTGAATCTCAGGCGAATAGAAATACTCATCGAGATCTGAGCATGAAACCATTTTCTCAGGTATCTCGAAGCCACGCTTGGATTCGTTGCTGAAGAGCGACTCGAGTCTCTTGAATGCGCCCTCAGTCCAGAGAATAAGACGGCCTAGTTTCCCACCAGGACACAGTCTCAGCAGATTCAGGTGCTCCACATTTGCCAATTCCACGCCCTCTATATTTGCAAAAGCAGGAAGACTCTTCTGGTCGTGAACGAGAAGCAGCCCGGTCTTCCTCGTGTACCTTCTGCCCCTGAACTTCCCCTTGCCACACGTGATCGTCTTTGAGTCCTTGACTTTCTGTAGCTCAGCCCCCAGTTTCAGGTTCTTCAACATTTCTACGGCGTCCCTTGTTTTGGTTAGGCCTGAAATGGCATCTGATACAACAAGGGGCAAAGATGCAACATCCTTGATCACGTGGCCTCTTCCTTCGACAATTGCCCCATTTGCAGATGCTGCTACGCCCATCAGAGTGACCTGTCTTCTCAGAGTCAATGGAGTCTTTCTGTGCCATCTTCTATGAGTCTTAGTTGGATGGGCCATGCGTCCCTTTCTTGCGAAGTTGGCGAACGCAGCCTGTCCAGCTCGTCTGGTTCCAGACGCCTTCACTCGTGGCACTCGTGCCATTGCTCTACCAGTTCCCCATGATTCTGCTGAATGCTGCTTACCAGCACTTGGTGATACAGCATATGGCTGTCTTCTGTTCTGACGTACGCAGTCGTGTGCTATTTTGACCAGATCGTCTCTGAGTTCTACGTCAAACAGTCCTGGTTTCTGCACCTGTGATACAATTGTCTTACCATCTTTATCAAATACATTGACGCCTGACATTGAACGGTAAAAATTTTGAAAAATAAAAATAGGCGGAAAATGAGACAGGGAAGGAAGAAAGTTGTAGGGGAAATGGCAGTTTAAGAGAACAAAATAGGCAAAAGTTACAGAGGCAAAAAGTTACCCAAATGAGCAAGACGGAGTATTTTTACACTTACGAATGCCATGCCAAGCAGAAATGGATCAGCAGACCACTAATTGACGTGTTGGTGGAGAACTATACAACAAGACCACGAGAGTACTTTGAGGAAGCCATTCGAGTTGGTGCCATTACGGTAAATGACAGAAAGGTTCTACTCCATTACAGAATCAACCACAATGATCTGATAAAGCATCTGGTGCATCAACATGAGCCAGAACAGCCTGATATTCCTAAACTATACGAAAATGAGGATATATGTGTTGTAAACAAACCAGCTGGAATACCATGTCATCCAGTTGGACCATACCACTATTATACAGTAACCAAGACACTATTTGGAGATAGAAAAGTTGGATGTGTCAATAGGCTGGACATGCCTGTGTCAGGTGTGTTGATTCTGAACGTATCCAATTCCAATAATGCTCATAAAATGCTCAAAAATGCCAATAAAGTGTACATTGCGAAGGTGAAAGGGCAATTTGAATTAACAGAGGCGGAAATGGCTCAACGAGAAATACAACTGGAAAATGGATACTATTGTGTGAATAAGAAGATAGGAGAAAGCACAAACAGACGCGTACAAACTGTAACAGAACAAGGAAAAGAGAGCAAGACACTTTTCAAACTCGTTGAATACAAGAATGGCCATTCACTTGTGGAATGCAGGCCCATTACGGGCAGAACACACCAAATAAGAGTGCACATCAGTTGGCTTGGGTTTCCAATCCAACATGACCTGATTTATGGAGACTACAAACCAATTGAATTTAAAGGCAGATATGATTGCGATGCTGATATCACTCAATTTGAAAATAGGGCACTTTATGAATTTGTGGTGAAAAAATGTCCAGGCTCCAGGAATCGAACCCACATCATCAAGGACGAGTACATTTGCCTACACGCCTGGAAATATTTCTACGGTGGACATGAATTTGTGGCATCGCTGCCTGATTGGAGTGTCCTGTAGAAAGAAAGTTTCTGTTTGGTTGACCCTTTAATGGCACCAGTAGAAAAGTTTTATGGACTGGAGAAAGTGAAGAAGACCACACAGGTGAAAATGAGAAAGAAGCAGCCAAGTGCAAAGGCACGGGCCAAGGCAGAGCGAATGGTCAACGAGGCATCCGTGCTCTATGCCCAGGGAGACTGCAATGGCGCATTGGACATTCTGAAGCAGGCTACGAAGCTCTCTCCTAACGATTACAGGGCGTATAATTTGGCAGCACTGATTCAGGAGGAATTGGGAAACATCGACAAGAGTCTCAATGGATACTTCGTGGCTGCGATGCTGAGCAACAAAACAACAAATAACAAACACATGTGGGACAAGGTGTACGAGTTGGCTGTGTACTGCGATGATGACACCAAAATGATATCAGCGATAGACAAATTGTACAAGAAAAACAACGAATTGCCACTTTTGGAGAAAAAGATGGACATTTTGGGCAGGCAGAAAGAGAGCTTCTACAACATAATTTGCTGTGAAATTGATATGATGCTCTTCAAAGGAGTGGATCTCCAAGTATTTGAGAAGCTAAAAGACTACCATCAGAAATCACAGCTTAAGAAAATATCAAGGTATCTGAATAGGCTGATTAGAAAGTCACCTGATTCGCATTCTGAAGAGTTTCTGGTGGAATCTCTTGGAGTGTTTTACAGGGCTGAAATGCATGAATTCTATGAGACTATTTATGCAGAATACTACGAGGAAGTTGCAACAAGGAAGAACAACATTCTACAAGTGAAGTATCTGATAGCACAGTATCACAACTACAGTGATAATATTGGTAGAAATAATGTAGTGAATAGCATTCTAGCCTACGATAACTGGAGTAGTGTGGAAGACAGTATCATTCTGGAACTGTTGGAAATGGTACAGGAATCCAAACAATATGAAGTATGCATAAAAATAGCCTTAAAAATCAGAAAACAGAAATCATTCTTTCAAATGGAGTGCAAATTGGGAGAATTGTACAAGTTGAATGGTGAATACACGAATGGATGCAAGATATACACTGATTTATTACAACACAATACGCTTAATATCGAAGTAAAGGCAAAACTGTATGAGTTGTATGAACTAATGGGAAAGACAGAATATGCAAAACAATTTGAGAATAGTTCGAAAATAGTGAATGAGACCAAGCTGACCAAGGATGATCTACGATATAACACGAAAGAATGCGAGAAGAATAGGAGACTCTATGAGCAAATACTGAATGTGAATGAACCTGACCAGGATGCAATAGACACCCTGCTTGAAGACTTCTTTACCAATAAGTTTGTGATAGCAGAGAATAAGAAATTCAAGTCATTTTATGAGAAGAACAGGAAGAACTACGAGGTGAACAGCAGTACGGTGGGACTGGTGATACGTGATCCAGAAAGCAAAAACAAAAGGGATTTGGTGCAGAAATACATGGAAGTAACCAGCTTACACGGATTGGAGCAGTTTGAATGGCACAATGTGATCAGAATAGCAGTGTACAGCTCATTGGAAATAGACATTGAAAAAACCAAGGAATTGATTCTGAAGACAGAGAAAATCACATATTATACTGATGAAATCAACGAATTTGATTTGCTCGGTCTCAAAATCGGATTGATTCACCAGGACGCTACCTTTTTAGCAGATATGTACAGAATTCTGATCTACAAGACCAATTACTCGTTCTTCAATGTGATCTATTTTCTGAATAGATTTGTGCCAAATGCAGTTGATAACGAAGGGATCATCAAATTGTACAGAAATGCACAGCGATTCTACTTTCTTAGATACGAAAAGAGAACAAATGCAATCAATCAAAGCAAAGAAGGAACCAGGGCGAGGTATTTGCTAGAAATAAAGCCAATTTCAGCAGAATTAACCAAGGTAGAGAAAGAGGCGCTCTACACCAAAGAGCTCTTCATCAAATCATTTGTTCCGAGGCTCTGCTACATCTCAACAATTGATAAGATTGATCAAACAGCAAAGAGGCGGAATGAAACAGTCTTGTTCTTGAGAGGACTATTGAAACTGAATAACTGCACATCACGAGTGTTAAAGAATAAGAAGCAATTTGCATCAGATGGAATTGATTTGATAAGAGAGGCACACGAGAATTCTGATCCTGATTTACTCAATTACAACCTGGGAAGAGCGTATCACACCATTGGGATGCATCTACAGGCTGAAAAGCACTACTTCAAATGCACTGAATCACTGAATACTCCATTACGAAAAATGGCAATCTACAACCTGAGTCTTTTGAGTGGAAAAAACAAAAGTAGATCATTTCTGATCAAATTGTTTGATTCAGCCAGTGACAAATAAATTTTGAACAACTGCGATACGAAGCCCTGAAATGCTGAATGAAAAAGACGAAAATCTCTGTCTTATACTGGAAACAAGGACAATCACTGGTCAAGATGCGTATCAGGCAATAGCAAACAACTTGCAACTAGATTTTCTGGTGGAAAATGAGACTGTCTTCTTATCCTCAACTTTATTCGCAATTGAAATTATCACAGGTGAAAAGAGTAAAATTGTTTTCACATTCACATCAAAGGAAACAAATGATGAACATAGGTACGTAGAAACGTACCTAAATTACTTCATAGGGGATTATAGGACATTCTACCTACTGGTTAGGTGTCTCTGTAACATTCTACCAGAATCAAAGACAAATCCTAAGAAAGTGAAACTTAGTTCAAATGGAATCTATTGCTCTTGTATCGAAACAGGTGATTATTGCAGCGTAGAAGATAATTGCAACCTGTTTGTGCATGCTGATTGTGAAATAATCAACGAAGACGGTCTGTTTCTAGCAGTAGTAGGAGATATGACTGGTAAAAACATCTCTGGTTGCATTTCTGATGAATTCATTACTGTCAAAACACTACAATACTACCAAAACAAGGCATACTATTCAGAGGATGACCTGAAAATAGAGGGAAACAGGATAATATACAAAAATAAGAGGAATAGAATAGCAGAATACATGTTCTACGTGAAGGAATGCAGTGTGAAAGACGTGAGGAATGCGTTGAAGACTATTTTCACAAAATAAGCTTATTTACCCCCATGTCCAATTCAAAGGAATTCAACAAACAGATGAGCATCTACACACAGGCTGTGCTATTTGAGAAGAAACTGTGGGAAACAGACGATGATACACAGATATTTACCAACAGGTTCTACACTCTCCCAAACGAACGAGCAAATGAGACCAATTTAGAGAAATAAAAAGTGTAGTCAATTTTTACCCATGGACGAACAAGCAGAAAGCTTCCTTCGAAATGTTTGGAATGACAATTTCTACCAGGAAATAGTCACAATAAGACGACTGATCAAGAAGTACAAGTACGTTTCAATGGATACTGAGTTTCCTGGTGTGGTGGCCAAGCCAATTGGGAACTTCAAGACTGCAAATGGATTTGCGTATCAACAACTGCGATGTAACGTGGACATATTGAATCTGATTCAATTTGGAATGACATTGAGTGATGAACACGGAAACAGGCCTGAGCCAGTCAACACGTGGCAGTTCAACATGGCATTTGATCTGGATCAGAACATGCACAGCAAAGAGGCCATTGATCTCCTCAAGGCAGCAAATATTGATTTTGATGAACACAAAAACAAGGGAATCGATCTCAATGAATTTGGATTGATGTTATTCACATCTGGATTGGTGCTATGCAGTGACATCCATTGGATTGGATTCCATTGCGCCTATGACTTTGCGTACCTGATCAAGTTGCTCACTGGCAACTCCATGCCTGAAAAGGAGATGGTCTTCTACGACTACCTGAATGCGCTATTTCCGTCATTCATTGATTTCAAGTACTTGATCCAGGACTCAGAACACATGAAAAAGGGACTTCAGGAGATATCGGGCACTTTTGGGTGCGTCAGACAGGGAACAGCCCATCAGGCTGGCTCAGATGCACTGCTTACGTCTGCTGTATTCTTCAAGGCATCTGCTGGAATATTCACGAAGGAATTCATCAATGAAAACAGGAACAAGTTGTATGGCATTGAATTGTATTAAATAACTCGTATGGTACTCATTCTTCTGCTACCTGACTGGTCTCATACTTCAGATTGGACTTCTCGTACTCAGTCAACTTGATTCCCTTCTCCTCATCCAGTGTGATGAATGTCTTCTCGTCCTTTCCAATCACCATCGCTGATGTCATCAGGGTAGAGAAGTGCTTCATGTTTCCGTCCACAAGCTGAATCAGTGTCTTCCCATCAGGCTGCTTCTCCATTGATTTGATTGTTCCAACTCGTCCCGTGTTAGATCCACTGTAAATGAACACAATCGACCCTTTCTCAAATTTGTAGCTTTCAATCAGTTTGTTTCCCACAATATCAATTTTAACGGTGTTGTTGAGATCAATTGATGGGTCAGCGAGTCTGAAGTTGTATCCGCAAGTTGTTCTTGTCATTGGCACTTCCACCTCTTTCTCTCCCAATTTAATCTTATCAAATCCCTTTGATTTCACCTTTGATAGCCTGTATTTGGCTTCTTCACTGCTTACTTTCTGAAGCTTGAACTTCCTGTTTACTCCCAGTATCAGGCGATAGTGCTCATTGGATTTCAGAACTGAGATCACGTCAAACAGTCCCACCACAGACTTGTGGTTTAGGATTCTCTTATGGTTCACCACAACAAGCCCGTTTTCAATGATGTAGTGCACTTCCTTAGAAGTGTGAGCCAATTTCAGGAATTTGGTCAGGATGTAGTGCATTGGAATGGATAGCTCCTTGCAGTGTGTTCCAGGAAGTGGTCTGATCGCATACTTCCCAATGCTCTTGGTTAGTCCCCACTTTGTTGGTGCTGCGAGTCGTTTTAGGTGTCTATGTCCTCCACTTGGCATGTGGGGTAAAATTTGTAAAAATGAAAATGGTTGAAATGGTCCATGACAAATATTACAGCCTCAATGGGTCTATTTCAAGCAAGAATGCATGTGGAAATATTACAGGGGCATGTTCGTATCATCCATGGATTCAGATATTTTGGATTTTTTTATCCCAAATGACTGTAAATCAAATCTATATTCTGAAGAATGAAGAACAGACAGAGGATACTGGAATGTTATTGGATGATATCAGCAACTTATTCGACAATGTCATGGTAGTGGATGATGCATCAGATGTATTGGAGAATATTGATGAAAATACAGCAGTTATAAGAATACATGAGGAAATTGGACCAAGATACATACTGATTGACACCAAGAATAAGCAGGTTGTATTCAAAATAATCAACTATAAGACAAGAAGGAGTATGGGAACGAATGAAGAGACAACGAATAAGTCACAGCTGATTCTATCCAATTTTAATACGGAATTGGGTATCAAAGTAGCAGAAATATTCATGGACCTGTTTCCAATGGATTTGGATGCCAATAAGGTGATCAACTGTTCGGTCCACAAGGATTTCATCTATTTCAGGATGTTCAAGTTTGTCTTATCACTATCAGAGAAGAAGTTGAAGAATACCAAAACACGGATGAATGAAATTGGACCACAGATGACACTTAGGTTGTACAGATTCACAGAAGAAGTGGAGGGAAAGAAAGCTGTGAAACACTACAAGAAATACATCAAGAATAGGAATCTGTTGTAGAAGAAACAAGTAAATACACAGGTTACTNTTCCAATGGATTTGGATGCCAATAAGGTGATCAACTGTTCGGTCCACAAGGATTTCATCTATTTCAGGATGTTCAAGTTTGTCTTATCACTATCAGAGAAGAAGTTGAAGAATACCAAAACACGGATGAATGAAATTGGACCACAGATGACACTTAGGTTGTACAGATTCACAGAAGAAGTGGAGGGAAAGAAAGCTGTGAAACACTACAAGAAATACATCAAGAATAGGAATCTGTTGTAGAAGAAACAAGTAAATACACAGGTTACTCTCAACTACCATTCTATAAGGATATGCCTAAACAAACATCTAAGTAATACAATGATATCAGTGTTAATGAAAATGTAACTTGTTTCTATGCACTGTCATGAAATATTTTAACCTCCTGATTTCTAATCAATTTTGAACCCACAAACCATCAGAAATTAATATGTTGTTATACAAACGAGAGAATACGAACAATATAAAATAAGGTGATTTTTGACAATCTGAAATTAAAATTTTTTGTAAAATACCACCTTATGCTGTTACACTTTATACGTTTCAATTTGACTAGTCGTGTCGTAGACAGTAGCTTGATAGAAACAGGAAGTGAAACCTGTAATACAATCTCTCCATATGCGTCTGGAAGTTCGTTGTATACATCAAGCTCCTCTGATGCCAATCCTAGTATTAAGGTAAATCCGCCTCAATCACCTGATTATGAGAACAAGGAAAAAACGGTACCANTATGTTGTTATACAAACGAGAGAATACGAACAATATAAAATAAGGTGATTTTTGACAATCTGAAATTAAAATTTTTTGTAAAATACCACCTTATGCTGTTACACTTTATACGTTTCAATTTGACTAGTCGTGTCGTAGACAGTAGCTTGATAGAAACAGGAAGTGAAACCTGTAATACAATCTCTCCATATGCGTCTGGAAGTTCGTTGTATACATCAAGCTCCTCTGATGCCAATCCTAGTATTAAGGTAAATCCGCCTCAATCACCTGATTATGAGAACAAGGAAAAAACGGTACCAAGGCGTAATAAAAGGAAGAGAATGCCATCTCTGGATTCAGAGTCTAGATTTGACATTACAAGGGTGAAACCAAAGGAAGATCCTTCAAGTGATACTGATCCTGATGAAATTGTGAAGAGGGATCAAGGTAAACCAGGTCGTAAAAGGAGAAAACGACGAAGGATAGAAGTTCCAGCACCCAAACCAAGAAAGATTGTAGATACAATAACCCTATCCTTATCTACAACAGCACTGAATCATTAACAGATCCAAATCCACTGGATAAGGAAATCGAAGAGATGAGGAAAACAAGTGCTCATCATGCACCAAACAGAAATCGGGGTGTTGTACACACGGGAAGAAACAGCTAATAACATCATCAATAAATTGTTATTGGAGTGAGAGTATGATTTAATAAACAACCTGAAACAAAAATGATAAAAGACGGCAAAATAATCAAGTGAATGACATCTGATGGAATCAAATTGGTGATACAGGCAGAGAATGACGCAAGCAACAAAATAAAGGCAGCAAAGGAGTACAAGAAAGAGGTGGTGAATAGAGCACGCAAGGATGCAGCAGACCACATTAAGGCGTTGGAAGAGGACCTGAAAAATGATTTAGAACGGAAAAATGTAGAGGATGCCAGATACCTTGAGGAGCTGAAAGTGTGTCTGGAAACAGAATTCAATAAGAAGGTGGGTGATTTGGATGAGAAGTGTGTGGATGATTTGATATCAAAAATAGTGGGAATCATAGCAGACAAGTAAAATAAATTGACTAAAAAGCCCATGACAGAAGATACCTTTTGTTACACAAGAATTACAAATGAAGAAATGGAATTGGTAGAGAAGAAGGAACGAAACAACATGATGACGCCAAGTACACGGCATCTGGTGACGTACAAGGCCTTGTTTACTGAGAAGTACGTGGAAGCCCTGAATACAGAAATAGAAGTATTGAGCATCGATTGCATGCATAAAGAGACAAATGCAACAAATACGTCAGAAGAAGCCATCAATATGAGACTAAACAAGTTTGAGAATGCCCTGTTTAGCACCAGTGGCGTATCATCCCCACTCTACTCAAATTATTTCATATTGTTAGGTGCCAAATTTAATCCAAATGTGTCAATATACACGGACTTTCTGGTTTGTGATGATACTAGCTCAGATAAATATCACTTTTGTATCAAATACGGAATACCAGTGATCAAAACAGATGAGATATTCAGCAGTGATTACTCCAAATTCAAAAAGGTGCTGAAATATGATGCAATATCGTGCAGTAACCATGGAATGTTCTACGATAAAATATTCTACATTGATGACAAATTACCCAAGAAGATATTCAACAGATTGAAGAGACTCATTGTACAGCACGATGGAACCAGGTTTCCAACACCATCATCAGACGTGAATTGTATTCTAAGCAGTAGAAACAACGCATATCAATTCAAGGATAAGGCATTCTACTATCAATACGTATTTGATTGNTACGGAATACCAGTGATCAAAACAGATGAGATATTCAGCAGTGATTACTCCAAATTCAAAAAGGTGCTGAAATATGATGCAATATCGTGCAGTAACCATGGAATGTTCTACGATAAAATATTCTACATTGATGACAAATTACCCAAGAAGATATTCAACAGATTGAAGAGACTCATTGTACAGCACGATGGAACCAGGTTTCCAACACCATCATCAGACGTGAATTGTATTCTAAGCAGTAGAAACAACGCATATCAATTCAAGGATAAGGCATTCTACTATCAATACGTATTTGATTGCGTGGATGCAAATGCACTTTTATACGAAGAGTTCTACAGGATTCATCTGGATAACAACAATATTGAATACAACATATTGAATGGATGTGTGATAGCATGTGATAGCAATGTAGATGAAATAAAGAACAAGGTGATAGCACTGGATGGAGTATTTCAGAAGAATGCTGATATGCGTACTACACACTTAATAACTGATGAGAATGTGAAATCAAAGCAGTACAAATGTGTGAAGGAAGAGTGGCTGAATGATTGTATAATGAACATGAAGAGGTTGGATGAGAAGAAGTACAAGCCAAAGAAGAGTAGTAGAACTAAACAGAATAAGCTATCAGTACAGATCACAGGAATAGAAGATGAAACAACCAGAAGCAAGTTAGAAGAGTATTTTAGCAGTAGAAACATAAGGATGGTTCATTCTGATAAATATGAGAATACAACTCACCTGATAATGGGGAAGCCAAATACGACTGAAAAGTTTCTAGGGGCATTGGTGAATGGATGTTGGATACTGCGGAGTTCGATTCTCGAGGAAGAAGATTTTAGTACTGCTTGTTGGTTGAAGCACGAGTGGGTTGCAACAAACAACGAAAGTAGTAGCACCAACAGGATAGTGGCATCAATCAAGAAGTGGAGAACAAGGATCCAGGAGAGAAGCTGCAAGCCATTCCATAAATGGGTGGTGAAATTGTATGCGCCTGAGAAAAAATACAAAATGTTCAGTGATGTGATTGTACAGGGTGGTGGCAAGATGAGCAAAGACAACAAATACACGCACGTGTTTGTTGATAAGAACTATGTGGGTGAAACAGAGGAAAAGACGAAATATTCAACGGCGTACATATTTGAATACTTATTCAGGTAAAATACGGAATAAGAATAAAAATAGAAAAGAATTTCGGGTTGAATCAATTGTATTAAGCTTAAACCAAACAAAATAGAAATAATTTCTGCCCTGAATTAATGCAAGCTAAAAACAACGAGAACATCACAACATTCTGCAGAATAAACGATAAGAACAAGAGAACAAGTCCAATTAGGACATCTAATAATTCAATAACAGTAGGTAACAAGGAGTACAAGGTGGATTTCATGTTAAACAAAAAGTCACAATCTGACGTATTTGAAATATTCAAAGAATGCATATCAACTAATGTCGAGTCTGGCTACAACTGCACCGTATTTGCGTATGGTCAAACAGGAAGTGGTAAAACGTACACAATCCAGGGAGAAATGAACAACGAAGGCCTCGTCCTCAGGACACTCAGGTTTCTTCATACAAAATACAAGAACCTTAAAATAAGCTTCCTGGAAATCTACAATGAGGAATTGGTTGATCTGAGTCAAATTGATAGCACCCAATTGAATCTCAGAGAGGATAAGTCTGGCTGTGTCCTTGTTGATGGAATCAATCTCCTTGATTCTGCTTCATTTGCTGAATCAGAATCATTCTACCTAAATGGGATAGTAAACAGAAAGACATCGTCTACCTCGTGCAATGAAAAGAGTAGCCGATCCCACAGCATCTTCACGGTCTACTTGGAGCAGGAGATTGATTTGATCAGTGATAAGGTGCGTATCAAAACAAGCAAACTGACATTCGTCGATTTAGCTGGATCTGAGCGACTCAAAGAGGTTGAAAATGAGAAAGCAAACTCAACCAAAATATTCAAAGAAACCACCACAATCAACAAATCGCTGATGAACCTTGGAATTGTCGTAAACTGCCTGGAGCAGAGAGCAGCTCGTCACGTTCCCTACCGCGACTCAAAGCTGACATTTCTTCTGAAGGACTCCCTTGGTGGCAACAGCAAACTGTGCATCATTGGCAACATCAGCCTGTGCAATCAGCCCGATACAACCAACACTCTTCAGTTTCTGGAAAGAATCAAATTGATCACAAACAACCCAACAGTGAACTACGC